AGGATTTCAAAGTTTCTTTTCATGTATTGTTATTTTTTAACAATTTTATTGAGCTATAACTGACATATAATAAACAGCACATATTTGAAGTGCACGATTTGTTAAGTTCTAACATTTGTATGACATAAGTATATACTTGTGAAACCATCACCACAATCAACGTATCCATCACCCCTAAAAATTTGCTCATGCCTCTTAGTAATCCCTCCCCCAACCTCCATCCCAAACCCAGGCAACCACTGATCTGCTTTCTGTCACTAGATATTAATTTGCATTTGGTAGAATTTTACCTAAATGGAATCATACAGGATGTACTCTTTTTTTTGGTCTGGCTTCTTTCAACTAGCATAATTATTCTGAGATTCATCCATGTAGTTGCACGTATCAATAGTTATCATTTTTTATTTTTTAAAAACTTTTCACATTCGAGGTATGCCCTCGTACAGTGTTTACTGTATTTCAGCAGATTTGCTAGATGACAAAGCTCCACGTTAGGGAGGGCTTTGGGGGTAATAGTCCCCCCTGGAGGTACAAGAGATACTGCTTAGAGAGGAAATGATGAGGTATAGACCCCAATTTTCTAAGAATTCTCCAAAATAAAAAGGACTACTGTGGTAAGCAAAATAGCCTCCAAAGATGTTCCCATCCTAACCCCTGGAACCTGTGAAGATGTTGCTTTACACGTCAGAAGGGATTTTGCAGATGTGATTAAGTTAAGGATCTTGAGATAGGGAGACTATCCTGGATTATCTAGGTGTATTATTAATGTAATCACAGTAAATGTAAAAGTGAAAGAGGGAGGCAGGAAAGTCAGAGTCTAGAAGAGATTTGAGGATGCTATGATGTCGGCTTTGAAGATGGAGGAAGGGACCACAGGCCAAGGGATGCAGAGAGTCTTTAGAAGCTGGAAAAGGCAGAGAAGTGGATTCTCCACTAGAGCCTCCAGAAGGAATGCAGCCCGCCGACACCTTGATTTTAGCCCAGTGAAACCCATTTTCAGACTTCTGACCTCCACAACTGAAGGACAACAAATATGTGTTGTTTTAAGCCACTAAGTTTGTGATGATCTGTCACAGTAGCAATAGAAAACTAATTATCAGTCCTGTAAAAAAAATAAATAACTCTAGTGAGTCTGACCATCTCTATTTCTTCTACTTTTTGACACCTGGTCTAATAGGAGCAGAAGCAAATCAGCTTTAGACTCAGACTGACCTAGCTGCTCCTCTGAGCTTGTTTCCTCATATTTAGGGAGGGATGCTATAGTAGTCACCTTCGGGAACTGTGGAGAAGATTGATGAGATGATACACACAAAGATCTCAGCACATAGCAAGACCTCAACAAACCCTCACTTGCTTCACTTCCCACCTAATACTTGAATCTAAGGGACTAAATCCTTAGATTGCTGCTAGTGACCTGCTGTGTCATTTTGGATAAATTTCTTTCTCTCCTTCAATCTGTCCCACAAGATTATACAGAGATACTTACTAAGTCTCTGAGGGTGTTTAATTAGTTTGTAATGTGGCTGGATACTCCTGGTTAAAAAGTGTTATTTAGATGCAAAATGCTGTTATCTTTTGAGCAGGTAATTATTTCCTGGTCCTAAATTGCTTAGCACAGTACCGAGGTTCCATCTCTGAGATGATGATATTGCTTGAGAGGGTGAAGAAATACCTCACCTGAGTGCTGGGAGTCTTAATTAATTAACGTTTATTAAGCCTGCACAAGCCTGTCATAAAACGCTAAATGTTGAGTGTTACTTATCTTTGTATGGTTGTCACTTTTGATATTTTAATATGGCAGCTAAAACGATCTGATAAAAGTTGGCATTTCAGCATTGGATTAGGTAATACTTACTTCATAATCATGTTGGGGGGTGTCTCATTGATTACTATTTAAGGAGCTTTGCGCTTTTTACAGAAAGGGACTAGGGAAATAGTGCGAGCTATGATTTTTCTACAAAGGCCTAATTTATAACAGATTTCATACAACATTTCAATTCCTTATCTCTTATATAAAAACCATACCAATTGACTAAAAAGCTAAAATTTTGAAGTATTGAAAGAGATACTTTATGTAATAGTTAATAATAATTTTTTAAAAGTAGTATTTATCAGACTTTATGTACCACACTGTTCTAAACCTTATGCATGCATTAAAGCTAAAATAGGCATAATCCAACTCCACCGCACCACATTTATTTAGAGAACATTACTATCTGCATGCATTTCCAAATATATAACTGGTTCATCAGGATTATTCAGATTGGGGTGAGGGTGGAGGAGGATTTATACAGATTGGGACTTGCTTCCATAGTAATGGCTACCATTTATTGGACACACTACATGTCAGACACTGGACTAAGTCAATGCACTATCTTATTTTATTCTTACACTAAACTTTTGAGGTAGAATTGTCATCACCATTTTACAAAGTAGGAAAATAAGACTCTGAGAAGTTAGGTAAATTGCCCAAAATTGTGAATCTAGAAAGTGGCAGAACCGAGATTCAAACTCATGTTCTGCTGTCCCCAGAACATGGGGTGCCTGTATGAATATAGACACCTATGGTAAGTGGTTCATAAGTACTCAGTAAATGTTAATCGACTACAAATATGTTTAAACCATAGAACAACGTGCTCTAATGAAGGTGATCATCTTTTCATGTGTTTTGATAATCATCTTTTCATATTTTTAAATGCCATGTATATTTCCTTTTCTGTTAATTCATGTGCTTTGCTCTTTGGGGTCATTTTCTTATTGATTCAAATGATCTTTATTATAAAATACTTGGAAAATACAAGAAAGCATGACCAAGGAGTCATGATTAATTCCTTCCTCACCCTCACCTACCTGTACAAGCACATTGCCAGGTTCTGTTGATTTTTCCTCCAAAATATGCCCTATGTCTTGAAGACATCCATTTCTTTAATCTTCACTGCCACCCTCCATGCTAGTTCCTTTCAGCTTCCCCAGTACACAAAGTCCTTTTTCATCCTCAGGTCTTTGCACACATGTCTCCTCAGACCAGAATGCTCTGCCTCGACTCTTTGCATGGCTTGCTTTGTATCCTTCAGGCTCCAGCTTGAAAAGCACAACCTCAGAGAGCTCTCCCCTGCCTATCCTATCTCAAGAAAGTCTTCCTTCCTTATATTCTTTTCCTATCCTTCATAGCACTTATCACCATTTATAATAATATACAATATTCTAAATCCTTTGCATGCAAATAACAAATTAATATTTGTAAAGTGCTTAGAACAGTGTAAGGCACATGTAAATGCTATATAAGTGATGATTTAAAAAAGCAACTCCCATAATCCTCACAACCCTATGTGTGCTATTAATATCCCCATTTTGCAGATGGACAAACAATGTAGAGATGGACATTTTACAGAACAACAGAGAAGTTAAGCAACTTGCCCAAGGTTGCACAGCTAGTGAGTAGCAGAGCCTTGCTACAAGCTCAGATTGACACCAAAGTCCATACTCCTAACCATTTTCTGTATTTCCTTTTCAATCCAGGACCTAGCTAAATGCTTTGAACCTAATAGGTATGTTCAATAACTACTCATTTAATAAGTGAAGGAACAGCCCTAATAAGAAAATAAAATCTATTTTCTGCAATCCTCCCACAGAGAGATTTTGGGAATCATCCTTCAGATTTTTTTTTCTAATGCAAGGATAGACTTTTTATCAAAATCATAACTTTTCGAAATCATTTTGAGCAGCATAGATCAGGCATCAATGTACAATATGTTTGCATAGCTGGCTTTGCATCCTTCAGGCTATTCATAAAATAATGAATGATTTTATTCATTATTATTTTTTTCTCATTTATAATTTCAAGTCAATGTTCCTCCTTTAGGCAGGGGATAGAAGGTAGGGGAGAGAAGGATAAGTCTTTATATAAAAGAGAAAAAATGTTCCTAAAACATTCTGGACCTTCTTATCTCTAGGCAGAGGTTGCCAAACTTAAGCTAGAAAGTTTAGGGAAAGGACGAGGTATTTTTTTTTTTTAATTATACTTCTTCTTTTTTTTTTTTGTGAGGAAGACCAGCCCTGAGCCAACATCCAATGCCAATCCTCCTCTTTTTTGCTGAGGAAGACTGGCCCTGGGCTAACATCTGTGCCCATGTTCCTCCACTCTATGTGCGACGCCGCCACAGCATGGCTTAACAAGCGGTGCGCCTGTGCGCGCCCTGGATCTGAACTGGCGAACCCTGGGCTGCCACAGCGGAGCGCGCGCACCCAACCGCTTGCACTACTGGGCCGGCCCCCTAAATTATACTTCTTTAAATCAGTATGTTTTAAAATTTGTCATTAGAACTATTTTTAGAAAATCAATTGGCAAGAATTTTCTAGATGTTCCCAAAGTACAGCAAAGGTCCATGGTTTATTGTACAAATTAGACAATTTATGATGATTATGTGGCTATATCAATGGGAAAATTGGATGAAGACAGCACTGACCCCCAAAGGGCAAGAAAAACATTCAAAGTCTTCCGGTAAAACACTGAAAAGAAGCTTCTCCAAATACTGGTTTGCTCACAGTTTCAAAGGATTTTTGGTTCTGACTTTTAAAATAGTTTCAGGATAAATAATTTGTAACAGCTGGTCATCAAATTCATGCACACCCACGGAAGGCCTACATCTCTAAGACCGACTATAAATAATATATCCATCTGACTCTCAAGGGAGTATTGGATTGATTTGTTGCTCCATCGCAGTGTCTCCCTTCTGCCACTTAACAACAGGATGAAGCCAGACTGCCACGCTGAATGGTATATGGTTACAGTCATAGGCACTGCATTTGTGGGCACCCCACGTTTCTGAGATAAAGTTAGCTGATAGGATTACTAGAGTGTAATCAAATGCAGTCATTGCAGAGGGAGCCTGTATCACATTACCTTTGAAAATATTTTAATCGAGAAACACCATACGCCGGATACAAAATCCACAAATACCTGACCTCTGGGCGTGGCCTAAGGACACGCTATTCTGAATCATCTCCTATTTGCTTTCATGGGTAAATAGAAATCTTGAGCTAGAAATAGAGGGAGAGAATTTGAAAATTAAAACAGAGTCAAACTAAGTATTTTTGAATGCTCTTAAAAGATTAAAAAAAAAAAAGACAAGTTTAGATCACATCAGAAGTTCCCTATGTAGTCTTAAAAGCTGATTTCTTGTAGTTGAAGGAACCCGGAAGAAGCAGGCACACCATGACACTGAAGCTCAGTTACTGTTCTATTATTCAATTGCAGCTGACATCCAACTACTGAAAAAAAGAAAGGTGATTTAGAATTAAAGGATTGCTCATCTGTATTGCAAGGCCCTTCGACCGGTTCATTCCATGACGTCCAGGGACCCCAAGATGGAGGTGAGTTTCTATTGCTACTGCTATTGTCTTACCTCTTTGTGTTGACTGCAGCATGTTGAAGACTTAGAGCAGCACATTGCTTTACGTAGTACAAAGTATCATTGGATCACGTACTTAAAGCTCCTAACTGTAATCTATTCACATTCTTAGTGACACACATATAAAGGAATAAAAAGAATTTGGATTATTGAATCACTGCCTCCAAGAGTCAAATCCTATTTTCATTACAGTCTGTGGGGTTGATCTTGGAAGAGGGGAGTTCAGGACCCGGGAGTGTTAAGTGGCTAGTACTTTAGTGGAGGGAGGCAGGGGAGGGTGGGTAGAAACAATGCCTGCTTTCTCCTCCACCTCTGGGTCATAGACACCCCCTCCGGAGGCATCAGAGGTCTAAACACAGAACAGAGAGTATTGGGGATGAGGTTAAGAGATAGTCACAGGCACATGGCCCCACAATTTTCCTTTGAATATGGAGACATTCCACTGATACATAACATGATATCTAACATTTGTATTACCACTAAATGGGCTTAGTGAATAGAACAAACATCACCTACCAGCCAGAAACAATGATTCGCTGACCATCTTTGGCCTCTAATCACTAAGGAGTTTTGGTTTTCCCGTTGATAGACATTCTTAATTGATTCCATCAGATTCCCTGTCATCCCAGATACGGTTATCTTCTTCTCTTAAACTAGGCAAATTAGTGAGCTTAAGTCAGCACTTCAGCACCAAATTCAGACTTCATAATAAGGTAGAGCACACAGGGAATAGTCGTCAGCATGGCAAGCACCTCGTTGTTCATCCCTGCTCGGGGCCCGGACTGAAGTGTTTCCACAGGGCTGAGTCCCTGGGATGTGCTGCCCTTGTTTGCTCAAGGTGTTCACGCTCAGGGTGATTTGTGAGCTATTGCTGAGCACATAATGGTCAGCATAGCTGCGTAAGCAGTCGTGGCCCAAATGTGTTCATTTGAACTCAGTAAATCAAATTGGGTTCTATAGAAAGGTTCTGTTGGGTTCTGACTAGAATCTCTCTGGATGTGCCTTTGAACTCCACGATTGAGCTGGGTATTGATGCGGGGAGATGTTCCAATTCCTTCCAGCTACCTGTAAGGGGCCCATTACAATGCTAAGGATGTAGATGATCCTTTAACAGAAAAATTCCTTTTGATATTTTGCATCATGTAAAAAAACAACAGTAACAATAATAATAATGGAAGCTGTTTTCCTGTGTGTAACGAGAGAGTTTCTCAGGCTTCTGGCTTATCTTGGTCATCTCTCTTTTCTTCTTTTTCTTAAGAGTCATAGCAAAAATTAAGTTTTATCTGTTTAAATGGAATGATATTTTAGAAACTGGGCTCTGGCTAACAAAGGGTCTTTTCTTCCTTAGTTAGAAGGTCGTGGAGCTCAGCAATGAGCACCTCAAGATACAAAGAAGGCATGAGAATGTGTTTGGGGCTGTAGCTTGGGTCATTAAAAGTCCTACAAAACTAGAAAACATCTTTCTTTTCTCTTTTCCCTGTAGGCATTTAAAGATCCTCTTTTTTTCCCCTCAAAAATTAGACAATTTTTTTATTGAAATATATTTGACATATAACATTGTATAATTTTAGGGTGTACAACATATTAATTTGATACATTTATATATCATAATATGATTGCCATTATAGTGATATTAGCACCTCTATCATGTTACCTAATTATCATTTCTTTTTAATGGTTGGAATAATTAAGTTCTAGTTTCTTAGCAAGTTTGATGATTATAATACGATATTGCTGTCTATATTCACTATACTGTGCATTAGATCTCTAGGGCTTATTAACCACTTGGTGCAAGTTTGTACTCTTAAACAACGTCTGTCCTATCCCTCCACCCGGCATCCCCTGGTAACCACCATTTTACTCTCTGTTTTCATGAGTTTGGCTTTTTGATTCCACATAAAAGTGATATCACACAGTACTTGTCTTTCTCTGTCTGACTTATCTCAGCATAATGTGCTCAAGATCCATCCATGTTGTCACAAATGGCAGGATGTCCTTCTTTCTCATGGCTGAATAATATTTTATTGTATATATATATCACATCTTCTTTACCCTTTCATCCACTGATGGGCACTTAAGTTGTTTTCATATCTTCGCTATTGTGAATAATGCTGCAATAAAGATGGGAGTGCAGATATTTCTTTGATATACTGTTTTCATTTCCTTTGGGTATGTACCCAGAAGTGGAATTTCTGGATCATATGGTAGATCTACTTCTAATTTTTTGAGGAACCTCCGCACTGTTTTCCATAGTGGCTGCACCAATTTACATTCCCACCAACAGTGCACAAAGGTTCTCTTTTCTCCACACCCGCTCTAACACTTGTTATCTCTTGTCTTCTTGATGGTAGTCATTCTAACAGGTGTGAAGTGATATCTCATTGTAGTTTTGATTTGCATTTCCCTGATGATCAGTGATGTTGAGCATTTTTTAATGTATCTGTTGGCCATTTGGGTGTCTTAGACAATGTTTTATTTAAAACTATTTAGTGATAGTTTTCACCATCAAACAATGTACGCATTTACAGGGAGATTTTTAAAATAGTTTTAAGGATCTTATAGAGATCATGTCTCATATATGCCATTTCTTCCTTTATCCTTTAAATATCCCCACAGACAAAGAATACCTGGCCTTCTGTACCTAGGCATTCTTCAGTATTCCAACACTGAGATTGGTTTCGTTTTTCATTTTTAAACTATCATTTATTGAATGCTCACTCTGTACCAAGGACTATGCCAAGAGCTTCACACGAATTATTTCATGTTCATCCACCAATCCTGTGAACTAGGTATTATTATTCCTATTTTTCAGAGGAGGAAATTAAGACTCAGAAAAGTTAAGTAACTTGCCCAATGGCATATAGCTAATGAGTGCAGAAGTTGGAATTTAAATCCAGGTCTCTCAGCTCCCGCTTTCCCACTGTGTTTTTGACTTTCTTGGGAAGCATTTTCCCCTGTTCTTCAACTTGGGTTGGAGTAGCCTGTAATTCTGTTCATGAAGATAGACCTCACTTTGCAGTAAATGTTAGATACTGTAAATGACTTAAAGTAATCCTGTAGTGATTCTTGTCTTTCTCTCTCTTTCTCTCTGTCTCTCTATCACTTTAAACAAAATACTTTTTGATTTGAGTTCTCTAACATTGGCACATATCTATAAATTAAGATTTTTGTACAATATTTTATAGATGTCTTTATCACAGTTACTTTGTACCCCTTTTTTCCTGGAGAATTTAGCTCAATTTTTATGGTCAAACATTACTTCGGCTTTTTTGGGTTATCTAATAAATCACAACTTCATAGACTCATAAAAATTTAGATGGGGAGAGGACCTCAGAGATCTGCTTATCCAACCCTGTCATTATATGGGCAAGGGAGGCTGGCTGGTGGTTGCGGATCCCCTGGTTGAGTCAGAGCCTCAGTTACTCCACCTAAAACTGGAGGAAACTATACTACTTCTAAGGAGTTGTCCCAAAAGTTCACAAATCAAGAAGAGCTATCTAAATGGATGTTTCCAGTTTTGTTTAAAAGAAAAAAAGACTCATAGTAAATGGCAGCTGATTTTGCTCTGACCATTTTCAGGAGTAGCCCCAAGATATGCTGCTACCACCAGACTGTGGCAGCTTGCTGGGGCTGCTCAGAGCAAGGCAGCCTCTCTCACTCGGGGTTCTGCCTGGGTTCTAATCAGAAGAGGGATGTTTGGCGGCAGACTAGCCTCCAGGTCTTCAAAAGGCCTTTTTGTTCCTTGTTCATATTTCCGTCAGTCCTTCTCTGCCTTTCTCCAACATACAAGGGAAAATAAGGAGAAGGCGACCAGGATGGAGGGACAGATGAAAAAGCACCAGAACAGAGAAAGATGGTGGTTATGTTTGAGCTGAGCCAGTTTTCAGTGCCACACAATGTAAGAGGCCCATCAGTGATGTGTGGACAAGTGACAGCCAAGGCACTTTAAAAAAATCAATCCTTTACTTGCATCCCAAGTTCTTATTTCGGAGAATAAATTCCAAATAACATTTACTAAGAGATGTTGATAAATATTTGGTCACTAACTAGAGATCAATGTCTCCCTCAAAATTTAATGAATGAAAAATTTAAAACCTCCCCTGTCTTTTTTAAAATTCCTTGTTTATATACCACGGATTATGTTAACACTATGTTTAGAATGAGTTAGCTCTTGACTGAGCTTTCTGCCTTCAGGTTTATAATTGAATTTCTCTAAATGAAAAGCATCCATTTTGTTCTGGCATAAACACCAGAATAAGCACAGTTACATACATTATTCCAATATATTTAACAAAGAGGCTCTTCTCATTTTGCACAGAATAGGACACACAATGAAGACAATCCATGAAAACCAGAAGATCTACTATTGCGATTGAGAACATCAAGACCAGGCAGCAAAGGACGAAGGAGGTCAGGCTGTACCTATATGGATGAAGCCGATTTCTCAGAAGATACAACTTCTAAGCAACAGGAGGATTTGCCTTATGATGGGGATTTCTCCCAAGTTAAGATATACAATGATTCCAATTTTACCTCAAAAAATGAGTTCCTTTATGTCTCGAATCAAATTATTTTAACAAAAGATGACCCTCAAGAAAAGGCTACACACAAGGAGACTTGCAGAAATGCAGACATGGCCATGACTCTGGACAAAATGACTGAAGATGCTGTCAACAAAAACTATGATGAAGAGAAACAATGCACCATAAATCTTCCTATTCTGGCTGATAACAGAGACCCTGCAAAGTCAAAGATTTCTGGTATGTTACTCCATCATCTTTCTAAAGAGGAATTCTTAAAAGGTCAAGGCATTAATTGTGAAACTCTCCCAGAGATCTCTAATGCTGACAGTTTTGATGAAGCTATTCTTAAAAATATTATTTTGCAGTATGTTAAGAATTCTTGGCCAAAAGAACAAACTCCAGAACTCACTGACCAGCTCAACCCCCAAAGGGATGGTGAAAACAGCAATAAGCCCAGTTGTTCTCCAACTACAACAGAAGAAAACATCTCTGATTTAGAAGAGCTGACTGGAGACAGCAGCCATCAAGAAAATTCAAATTTTCTAACTAAAATCAAGAGTCCAAGTGATAAACAAAAAAGTTGCCACGGGCAGACATCCCAGAAACAGCAGCCTGAAAAAGCAAGTTCAGGCAGTGGGTTCAAACGTGGCCAAAGTCTAGTTCATTACCTGCTCTCTGATTTCTCTAAGGTTGCTCCCAAAGTAAAAATCCCTAAAAATAGCATAACTGATAAAACACTTACAATAGATAAACAAGCCAACTTTTCTCCTACATGGAGATATAAATCAGCTATTGTGCAAGATATTTTAGAAAACATGTCTAGGTCAAATGTTGTTGAAAAACAAGAGCAGAAAATGAAAACTACCAAAGTTTCACAACTGATAGAGGTAAGTAGTAGTGGTCTCCAGGAAATGTATAATCAGGGCCACTGCTCCTCTGTATCACTGTGGGTCTTTGGACAGTGCATGAAACTGAGTTCTAGTTCTGAGGTTCTGGGTTCTAGTTCTAGCTGAGTACCTTGACATCTCAGAAGCTCAGTGAGTGTCCTCACGGGAAGATCAGGAGCTGGACTAACAAGAACACATAATAGAATAAAATCCAAATTCTTTGATCCAGAATTTGAGTTTCCCCATTATTTTTACTTTATCCTACCCTTCTAAACTTAGCCCCCTTCCCCAGGAGTCATCCTCAGTTACCTGGCTGGTCCTTCAATCTCTCCTCAGGCCCTGAACTCTCTGAGCTCCTGCCTTACATGGACTATCCCACCTCTGCTTACCAAAGACCTGCTCATTTTCATTGCCTCTTTCAATTCCCCGTTAGCCAGAGGACTTTTCAGATCCCCCCAGTCACAATCTTCCCCATCCTTGTTTGTTTAGTGTACTCTCAGGGTGTTTATCTCAGCCTGCTTTGAATCATAATAATTTGGAAATATCTGTTTCTTCCACTAGATTTGAAGACCGTGGACAGCAGCAACCTTGTCTTCATCTTTCCATTGCCTAACTTCCCCCAGAGGCCTGGCCTTATGTCTTGCATATATTATGCCCTTAGTTATTAATGGTAAATTGAATTGAATTAAGATCTCTAATAAAATATTCCAAGATTGTTATATTGGTAACTATTAATTTTGTTAAGGCTTAGTTTATACTATTTCTCCTTTCCCCATCTTTCCATCCCCCTACCCAACTTCCCCACATGCTGAGGCTTAGGATCTTGTTGATTATTTGAGATTCAGTAGTTAGGTAAATTCACAGTAATGATCAAAGTACATGTTTTAGTTCTCTGGCACTTTGCCAGGACTGTATGATCTTTCTTTTAAGCTTTTTTTTTTTTTTTTGAATTTTATTTATTTAATTTTTTGCTTATTGCAGTAACATTGGTTTTATAACATTGTATAAATTTCAGGTGTACATCATTATACTTCTATTTCTGCATAGATTACATTTCACCACCCAAATACTAATTACAACCCATCACCACACACATGTGCCGAATTATCCCTTTTGTCCTCCTCTCTCCCCCATTCCCCTCTGGTAACCACCAATCCAATCTCTGTCTCTATGTGTTAGTTTATTGTTGTTATTATCTACTACTTAATGAAGGAAATCATATGGTATTTGACCTTCTCCCTCTGACTTATTTCACTTTGCATAATACCCTCAATGTCCATCCATGTTGTCACAAATGGCTGGATTTCATCGTTTCTTATGGCTGAGTAGTATTCCATTGTGTATATGTACCACATCTTTATCCATTCGTCCCTTGATGGGCACTTAGGTTGCTTCCAAATCTTGGCTATTGTGAATAACGCTGCAATGAACACAGGGGTGCATGTATCTTTATGCATTGGTGTTTTCAAGTTCTTTGGATAAATACCCAGCAGTGGAATAGCTGGATCATATGGTAGATCTATCCTTGATTTTTTGAGGAATCTCCATACTGTTTTCCATAGTGGCTGCACCAGTTTGCACTCCCATCAGCAGTGTATGAGAGTTCCCTTCTCTCCACATCCTCTCCAACATATGTTGTTTCCTGTCTTCTTAATTATAGCCATTCTGACGGGCGTGAGGTGATATCTCATTGTAGTTTTGATTTGCATTTCCCTGATAGTTAATGATGTTGAACATCTTTTCATGTGTCTGTTGGCCATCTGTATATCTTCTTTGGAGAAATGTCTGTTCAGGTCTTTTGCCCATTTTTTAATTGGGTTGGTAGTCTTTTTGTTGTTGAAATGCATGAGTTCTTTATATATTTTGGAGATTAAGCCCTTATCAGATGTATGGTTTGCAAATATCTTCTCCCAATTGTTAGGTTGTCTTTTCGTTTTGTTGATGGTTTCCTTTTGCTGTGCAGAAGCTTTTTAGTTTGATATAGTCCCATTTGTTTATTTTTTCTATTGTTTCTCTTGCCCGGTCAGACATGGTGCTTGAAAATATGTTGCTAAGACCGATGTCGAGGAGCGTACTGCCTATGTTTTCTTCTAGAGGTTTCATAGTTTCAGGTCTTACATTCAAGTCTTTAATCCATTTGGAATTAATTTTTGTGTATGGTGTAAGGTAAGGGTCTACTTTCATTTGTTTGCAAGTGGCTATCCAGTTTTCCCAACACCATTTGTTGAAGATCTTTTAAGCTTTATATGAAGGGCACCCTGGACTGAACAACATTCTCTGTTTCTATTTCCACCCCTTCATACTTCAACTCCCTTCTCTTTCACCTGAATACTCTGGGGAGTTTGAGTAGAACCCCCCCACACACACACACACACCTGGAGCCAGCAGCCCACCTGGCCTTGACTGGGATGCTTCCCTAAGTCTTGGAGAAATCTGCACCCTGTGACATTGGGAAGTCTCAGAGTTTCCCATTCTGCTTGCAGGAGAATACCCCTGGATGTGCACAATTCTCAGTGCCCCAGTGTTAGTAGGAGCAGAATGGATATCAGGCTCATCTCCCTCTGGCAGTGGGAGTCTGAAGTTAGGTGTCTGATTTTCTCTAGACCTGTCTATTCAGGTTGGAGAACTGGACTCTATAGGTTCCATATCCATCATTTAATTAAGATATTCATAATAACCTTAGTCTAGTTTGACCACTACCATTAACTCCCTGGCACTAGTGTGTTTCTGAGCTTTACGTGTTGGGAACAATGGGGAGACCCTCAAGGCGAATCACTCTGGAATTTAAACTCCTGTCCAGTTAACTGTGATGAGTAGAAAAGGGCATGTCCTGTGTCAACAATTACTGTCTTGACAAACGTTTGGAACTCAATGCATACTGTTTTACATTACTCTAGAGTACGGCTACCGTGTGTGTGGTGTTAGTGAGAGGACCAGCAACGAGCTGGTGATGAGATCAACAATGGTCCTTGCCCTCATGGATCTTATGGTCTAGTTTTAGGAGAAATGTTTGAGTATTCCACATAATAGTATCAAACAGGATAGTAGTAACAGCTAACGTGTATTGAATGCTTACCATGTGCCAGATATTATGGTAAATACTTAACATTTCATCCTCATAACAACCCTATGAGATAGGTTCTGTTACTATTTTACTGCTAAGGAATTTGAGGTTAACAATGATGAAGTAATTGCCCTGGGTCACCCAGCAGATAAGCGTCAGAACGGAATTCAACCTCAGCATCAGGGCCCCAGCTCTTGATGCAACACTGGGCTGCCTCCACGATGACCAGAACACATCAGGTCATTCTGAATAATGGCACCATTGATCAGTATCAACAGTAATGTTTTCTTATCCTTTAATTGTGCAGATGGAGCCCACAATACATGTCCACCAAGAACATCTCACAGGTACTCGAGTTTTTAAACTTCTTTGATTTAGATATACATTTTGAAAACTTTTTAATAGCAAATGGTGGTGATTGATACAGACTTCTGTTTTCAGCAGTTAATAAAACTGCAATGAAGTTGGGATGAACAGTAGCCAAAACTTATTCTTTCTTATATAGGACTAGAATCTGAGACAAGTCTCTTGAAGTTGTCATCAACCTCTCAGAAAGAACCTTCCTCAAGTTCTTCTTACATATTTCAAAAGATATCCCAAGGGAAACAGATGTGTCAGAAGTTAAAAGAACAGACTGATCAACTGAAGACTAAAGTAATACTTTTAAAGCTTACTATGAACAATAGAAGTAACCAAATTTAAACATAAGATATCACACCATTAATGAAATATTGCATTTTTCACTGCAGGTACAAGAATTTTCCAAAAGCATAGCACAGGATTCTCCCTATCATTTGCAAGACAGGAGGCTGGTAATAAATTTTATCCAGTTTTTAAAATCTTTATTAGGGAATTTGACATGGGTAAATACAAATGACTTTATAACACCATGTTTTCTCTACACTGGTGGGATTGGAAATGTTCTGGTAGGATATCTTTTGCTGAAGATTAAACTATCTTTGTGTTACAGGGGTTAAAAGAGCTTAGAATTCTATTTATATGTGTATTAATCCTCTCTCTTTCTCAAGGGATCTATTACTTATGGCTGTTATTCCTCACCAGTCACCCCATAATAAATCTGAGACTATGGTATGTTCAATAGAATAATGTCAGCTGTTATAAAGGACAAACTTGCCCATAGTTGAGGGACCCTGGTGGACACAGGTTATAAAATATGCCAGTATCTGGCAACTCAATGTATAAAACTTTGAAAACTTAAAATCAATCAAACTCTTTGATTTTCACATCCTTGTTGTTGCATTTAATCAAATCACTTATTTATGTTGTAACCGTTACAGCCTTGTTCATCAGTGCCAGGATCATGGGAAGTAGGGGTGGAGCATGGCAATGGGGCAAAAAGCTGAGACTAGTAGAGCCATAAATGTGCGAAGTGGAAGATGTAGTTTAGGCCATTGGGTCAGCAACAAGGCAGGTGGTCAGAAGTCCTGATATGAAGGACACAAGCAAAACTCAAGGCAGGCTGTGCTTCAGAAACCAGACAGCATAGACAAAAACCAGGAGGACCCAAATGTTAAGGGATACAACTCATTATTCATTCTTTCATCATATTAATTAAATAACTCATTCATTTATTCAGCAAACACTTACCAGGTACTTTGTATGTCCCAGACTCTGTACCAGGCACTAGGATTTGGAGATGAAGAAACAATTTCTTTTTCAAGCGGCTTATAGTCTCCTAGGAACAGCAGACTGGTAAACAGATAAACGAAATGCAGCTTGAGAAATGTTACAGATGGTGCTAATGGCAGCCTAGAAGAGGCTCACCCATGCCAGTTAGAGCAAGGCACTGTAAAAGGCTTCCTGGATGTGACTTCTGAGCTGTAGGGGGACTATAGATGTTCCAGGAAAAGGGATCAGCAGGTGCAATGGCCCACGAGAAAGTGCTGATAGTGTAAGGAACTATATGGCACTGTAATTGACCAGATGGAGCTCAGGGCACACATGGTGAAGAGGAAGGCAGGAGACTAGAGAGGTAGATAAGGACTACATCATGAAAGTCCTCTACACTGTGCTAAGGAGTTTAGATTTTATCCTGAGTTTGAGTGATGGGGCAATATTGGAGGATTTAAAGTTGAAAAATGATGAGCACTGTAGGGGCAAGACTGTAGGCACAGAGACTAGTTAGGAAGCCATAATCCAGCTGACAAATTCTGAGTCCCTGAACCAAGGCTGGCAATGAGGATGGAGAGGAGGACAAATCTAAGGGATTAAGGAAGTGGTGGCAGATTGAAAGGGGTGAATAAAGGAAAAGAGGAGGTTTGGATGAGTTCTAGATTTCTAGGTTGGGCAACCAAGGTCAGGAATAAAAGTGGAGGATCCAGTTCAGAATGGGTGTGGGAGGGAGGCAGGAAGCAAGATGTCAAGTTCAGTTTGGGACATTTTGAGGTCCCTATAGGACATCCAATTGGAGAGGTCTGGTAGGCAATTAGAGTAATGGATGTGGACCTCAGAGGAGTTTTTTGGGCCAGAAATGTAAATTTGGATATAGTTGTGGGTTGAAGCTATGGGGTGGATGAGGTTGCCTCAGCAAACAAGCAGAGTAAGCAGTGAAGAAGCCCACGGATAGAATCACGAGAAATAGCAACCAGGGTCAGGCAAAAGAAAAGAGGTCCACAAAGGAGACAGAAGACAAGCTACCCAAAAGGTCAAGGCAGGCTTGGAAGGGGCAGAGCTGTCGAAGACAAGAGAAAAGAGAGTTTTAAGAAGGGAGAGTGGGCCACACCGTCCAATGTTCAAGTAAGGAAGGAAAGCAAGATGTGCATTGGATTTGGCAACCAAGAGGGCATGGGGGACCTTGGCAAGACTGGTTTCAATGAAGTGGTGAATCTATGGAAGCCAGATTGCAGGAGTTAAAGAGTGAATGATAATGGAGATCTCCAAAAAGCCAGGCTTTCAGGAACTGGGAGAACACAGAATTTTAAAGGGCCAAGCAAAGCAGAGGGAACTGGTTCAAGGCACGAGCCTTCAGCGGCCTTGATTCAGGAAGTTACTTCCTGATGTTAGATGGTATGTGGGGATTCGTGTTGGGACTGAGAGGAGAGTAAAGATGACTCCTAACAGTGTCAGCCTTGGTCTGAGAGTTCCAGGCCCATTTGGGTCAGTGTTGGAAGAAGGCCAGACAGGGCTAAAACTAACCTCAGCCTGAGCAGCACAACATAGTAGAAAGCATTTGGATTTTGGAGCAGAAATCTTAGTTCTACATATTGGTTGTACAATCTTAGACATGTAGCATGTCTTCCCATCTCAGAGTTGTTATGAGAATTAAATGAGGTACATTTATGGCTAGAAAACTGTGTCCTATCTTCTTCTGAGACATAACACAAATTAAACTCCAAGATCCTAAATTATAATTCATAATTGGATTTCCTCTCTTTTCTCTTTCCTTTGAGAACCTAATTCCTTCTCATGGCTTTAACTGCCATTTTCTTGCTACTAATTCCTAAACTCCTAGTCCTAACTTCTCATCTATAGCTCCAAATGTTTGTGTGTATCTTCACTTGGATATCCCACTCTCACTGAAAATTCTACCTTGTCCAAAATTGGCATCTTCCTTCAGACTTATTAGCCTTTCCAAATTCCTCATTTTAGTCAGGGGTTTCACATTCTTCCCACCACCCAAGCTAGAAACCTGAGCCTTATCTGTGAGATTTACAGTATCAGTCAGGGTCCTGGCAGAAACTAGATGGTTTACTCCATTGGAGTAATTGAGGCGAGTTTAATAAGGGAAACAAATAAGGGACGGAGAGCATCTCAGGGAAGGAATAGTGGGGCAGAAGGGATGGAGGAAGAGCGGATACTGGAGCCTAAGGAGAGTAGCTGTAGCTGTAGGAGTAGCTGACAACCTCTGTGGCTTTTGATAGAGAGACACAGCCAATCCATGATGATGCAGGCAGGAGGAAATCAGGGAAATAAAGACCCCTACCTCATCCTTCAATTCCTCTTTCCTGCTGTTGCCTTCCATTGGCTGAAACCAACCAAAGCCAGGGGCAAGGGAGCCTGTTGGTGCAGTCCGTTGAAGGTCAGCCTCCTGGCTGAGGTGCAGAGAGAGATGGAGGATTGATCTGGGGGAAAATGGAAAACATCTACCGCACCTGCCACTTTTTATACCCCATAGCCAGTACATTTCCAAACTTGATTATTCATTTTAAATAATAATAATTAATAATAATCATGATGATAGCTACCATCTATCTAATAATTAATAATAATGATGATGATATCTACCGTAGTACATACTTGTACTATGTATGTACTATGCTCCTAGCACTAAGCGTTATCTCATTTAATTTCACAATAGGAAGTAAGGACTACTATTATCTCAGATGAGAAAACTGAAGCTGAGAGTTCAAGTTGACTAAAATCATACAATTAGTAGGCGACAGAGTCGGAAGTTGAACTCTGGTGTGTCTGATCCTGTAACCCCACTGTGCTATATTCCTGCCCTTGGCAATATCTCTCCAGTTCATCCTTTCCTCTCCATTTTCCTGGATACTGCCCGGTCCAGGCCCTCCTGAGCATACTTCAAGCCTGACATGTCTCACTATTTCCATTGAGCAAAGTGCTCCAATCCATGGTCTCTTTTCCATGGATTTCCAACTGGAATAAAATCCCTGAGACCAGGGACTGTACCTGATATAACTTTTGTATCTCTCACACTTTTGGCCCAGGGACAGACATAGGCAGTGCTCAGGGAATGTTTAGTGATGGGCCTGCCCGGCTGAAGCCTCTGTACCTCAAGACCAGACCCAACCGGCACAGTTTAAACATTCATCCGCTCGACACTGCACATGGTGACGTCTGGAAGACACATTCGAAGCTTCTGGCTAAACTTCCTGCTGTTCCTTCCCCGTCTCACCCTCCAAGTGCCACGGACTCAAACCTGGGTCCTCTAACTTCAGTTCTTTTTACGATCTATGTGGCTTCAGGTGTACTTCCTAGAGCTCCAATTTCCTCCTCTATAAAACTGGGATAATAAAATCTACTTGGCAACATTTACAACATTGATGTGGGGATTAAATAAGATAACGAATGGGAAAGTGCTCTATAAGCTAAAAATCATTCTGCAAATATGCAGGATTATTAATGTCCCATTAAGGAAGTTCAGAGGCCTCCGAATGGATTCTACAGTTATCAGAAGTAACTATACTTCTCAGCTTTGTGCTATGAGGGTGATGTGAAGGTTGAGATGGCTCTTGGGTTGTCTGTATGTTAAATGTCAGACTCTGAAACAAAACAATTGCCAGGAGAAGGATGGCAGCTTCATTTTGACACTACTGTAGGTCGTAGCCTCATTGCGTTATCGGAAAAAACAACTACACGCACAGGCTTACATGTGAATGATTCCAGTGACTTCACTGCTACAGGTCCTGGAGAACCTGCAGGGCCATCTTGAACTGCTGGAGCAGGAGTTTCTGGCCAAGAAGGAGAAGCGTCTGACTTTGAAGCAGCAAGTCCACAAGCATGAACCCCGAGTTGTCGGTGACTTTGATCCAGACAGGTAAGGCTTAAACTGTGAGGGGTGGAGGGATCAGAGGTGACTTCCTTCGGGTGGCATTCTGATATGGCTGTTGGCTTAGTGCTTGGAGAGCCACTGGTCTAGGGTCAGCCATGTCCCTATGCCACCGATGAACAAGTGTTACCGTATGCAACAAGTAGTATGGACTTCCTGTTGTGTGTCAGGTCCTGTGTTGGGCACTGACCCAGATGGAGTGCCTAGAACCAACATTTGTCTTCTGGAGGAGAGATATTGTGCCACCATCTTGTATTTTGTTGAATGTCATTATAATTGGTTCTGAGACCCAGAGGAGCACAAGAAAACCCTAGAAAGCCTCACATGCTAACCCCAGAGGTCCTTCTCTTCTCCAAGCTCCTCCTGTCCTCTCCTTCTCCCCACACCTGCCTTCATGTCCTTTGCCTGGTTCTTCTCTTCTCTCTCTCTTTTTTCCCCTTTTCCTTCCCATCCACAGACAATTCCAAAGGGGCAGTGGGAAGGAGAGGATCATGGTTAGGTTGGTTAGTTAATGTTGGGGTGAGGGACCCACAAATCCTGATAAAAGGAAAATGTTAAAGCTTAAAGTCAAATGATTCCTGAGTTAATTCACATTAGAAACCTGAATGCGAACCCGTATTGAAGTTTCCAACAGGCTATTTTTTATGGCACCATGCTCCTCTCTCTCCAATCCAAATAATTTTAAGATGCATTCCAGGACTCAAGGCTAGGATTGTTTCCATATAATTTCCTGGTATGAATTAAAAGAATCCATTTAGTAGATTTAATATTTGTAAGTTCAACTCTTTCTGTTCATAGCATTTTAATATGAAATCATTCTTGATGCCAAAATATTTTAATGGTATATACTTTGACACTAGCATCCAGAGGTATTTTTCCCAAAGTACAATTTTACTTTTTCGAAATGAATGAACTCTCTGTCTACTATTATTTCAACACTGAGTAATTAGACAGCAAGGATGGAGTTTTAATATTGATTTTTTCCCCCCAAATGCTTATTTTTTTTTCTGGGAAAAAAAAAGGTCTCCACATGCTTTCACTGTTTGCTTAAAAACTAACAGAGTAAGGATATTTATTTTCCAAGGGATCCCACTTGTTTTGACATTCGTTTTAAAGCCAGGCCTCTGTGCACATTAAGACCAAAGTTATGCAATGACTTATTTATACCCTGGTTACACCCACACTGTGTCTGGCCCCAGTACAAATGAAGAGTTTCAACTGCAATTATATCCCATATACAGGAGAAGCTTTCAACACTGGGGCAAGGGAAGGACCTGGCCTCTCCCCAAACTCAGTTAAAGCCACCTCAGAGCAAGCAGACTGCTGAGCTCGAGATCGGTCCTCTCCTTCTTGCATAGGCATAATGTGGCAATAAGCAGAACCTCATACAGACCTTGAGGTCTTGGCTTGCCGAGAACCTTCTAAGTGTTGAGGCCGAAGGCCACTGTAAGTGGCTTTCTGTAGGGGGAGAAGAATTCTCAAATTCATTGACTAATCACTTGTTTAAGTCAGCTGCTCTGCTCTTATGAAAACCTTCTTATTATTGCCTTTAAAAGGTAATATGCAAAAATATGTGTGTGGATTTCATGCTTCTTGTTTGTCAGAATGTAGTCTGATAGTCATTTGATTCTTTCACACACGAACACCAGAGTCCAAGGAGTCAAGAAATGAGGTGGTCAAGAAATCAGTCCCTTCTTTCTGATATTAGCAGCATATAATCTTGTCTTCTGCTTTACAGAAAAGATCACGAATTCCCTCAAAAAAGTCTTTTTTCCATCTCCAAGTCTGCATGTTTTCACCTCCTCTTTCTTCCTTCACTCACTTTCCACCCTCTCCAACCATGGTCCTTGAGCCCATCTCTTCCCACTACCTTGCTCCGTCATTTCACTTCCTTTACATTTTCAGGCTCCCTTGGTCCCCTTAATTCTCTTCTACCTGCTAGATTAGAACATATTTCCCTATATTTTATTTGATTATCAATATGGTTTTTCGTGCTTAGATCTTTGTCTCACCACTAATTGAATAGTGTAGCCTTTCCCCACTGGTTGAAAAGCCACTTTTATCATATACAGAACCTCCACGTGTATATGGAGTGGTTCTATTCCATCCCACTGATCTATGTTTCCATTACTACATTAACCACACAGTTTTCAATTACTATAATTTACTGTATATTTTGAAATATTCCTTCTTTTTTAAACTTTCTTTAGGCATTCTTGCACACTCTTCTTACTAATAAACTTTAGAATCAGTTCACCAAATTTCCTTAATAGAATTCCATTAGAATTTTGTTTAGGATTGTGTTGAATTTACAGATTAGTTCGGGAAGAGTTAAAATCTTTGCAATGAGTATTCCCATTAAGGGGCATGTTTTCTTCATGTAGATTTCACACATTTTTTTTTGTTAAATTTATTCCTAGCTATTTTATAGTTTTTCAGAGTATTGTTAATAGATTTTTCCCTAATCAATATACAGGAAATAAAGAAAATTGTATATTTAACTTGTACTGGCTAACTTATGCCATTCTGTTCTTAGCGTTTTGTTGATATTTAGTTGATTATCTTAATTTTTAGGTATGACAATCATAGCATCTGAAAATAATGATACGTCCCCCCCTCTCATTTTCCCCCTAAATATTTATGCTTTGTATCTTTTCTTCCTTCCAAATCTTAAGTATCACATTTCTTTGTATTGCTTTATTTTATTTGGCAGGTTTTCCAGAACAATATTGAATAACACTAATGAAAGAAAGCATTCTTGTCACGTCCCTAGTGGTAATAGGAATTCTTCCAAGTATGATGATTGCTGTAGATTCAAGCGTATAAGCTTTATCAAGAAAGTTTCCTTATGTTCCTAGTTTACTAGGATTAGTTTTTTTTCTAATTTAGGAAAATGTTTAATCCAATGAGATTTAGAAATCTACTTTTATTAGTTTATTAGTTTTTATTAGTTTGTTAGTTTATCTCCTTTAATCTATTAATGTGGTGAAGTATATTAATAAATATCCTAATTTTAACTATAGAATGAGTTGGGAAATTTTCGCTCTTTTTTTTAATGTCCGAGAAGACATTAAATTAAAGTCTTTGTAGAACTCACCCATAATCCCACTTGGATTTGGTGCCTTTCAGGGGTTAGATTTTTGATAATCTTTTCTATTTTTCTCTGGTTATTAGTCTTTTCAGATTTCCTACCTCTATTTGAGTACATCTTAATAATTTATATTTCCCTAGAAACTTATTCATTTCACCTAGATTTTAAACTATGTTGATATGAAGTTGCTCAATTCCATTTGATTTTAAATTTTTTTTCTGGTATTTTTCCTTTTTTTAAAAAAAATATTTTACTGACGTCACATTGGTTTGTAACATTGTGTAAATTTCAGGTATACATCATTATATTTTGGCTTCTGTACAGACTGCATTGTGTTCACCACCAAAAGTCTAGTTTCCATCCATCACTGTACTTATGTGCCCCTTTACCTCCTTCACCCTCCCCCCACCATCTTCCCCTATGGTAACGGCCAATCTGTTCTCCTTATCTATGTGTTTGTTTGTTTGTTTATCTTCCACATATGGGTGAAATCATGCAGTATATGTCTTTCTCTGTCTGACTTATTTTGCTTAGCATAATACTCTCAAGGTCCATCTATGTTGTCACAAATGGCACGATTCCTTTCTCATTCTTAATGTTTCTTATGGTTCTCGGTCAGATTTTTCTGGTGGTTTATTTTATAAATATTTTCAAAGAAAATGTTTTATTTTATTGATCAAATTCTTTTAAATTTGATTTATTTCTCCTTTTATGAATCTCTTCCTTTTTTAGGTTTATTTTGTTGTTCTTTTTCTGTCTTCCTATTTTGAATACTTAGTTTATTGATTTGGAATTTTCCCCTAATAGTGCATTTTAAGACTAAATTTTCCTCAGAGTACTGCTTTAGCTGCATTACATTGGTTTTCATATGTTGTTCTCTCATTTATTATCCATTTGTAAATTATCCCTAATCTCTATTTTTATTTTCTATTTGAGCCAAAAGTTATTTAGGCGAGTGTCAAAATTCCTAATTAGATAGTGTTTTTTTGGTTATCTTTTTGTTATTAATTTCTGGTGATAAGAGAATATGGGTGGTATAATTTTTTTAAAGACTATTTTAAGAGCAGTTTTAGGTTCACAGCAAAATTGAGAGGAAGGTACAGAGATTTCCTTTATACCCCCTGCTGCAATGCATAACATCCCCCATTACAACATCCCTCACCAGAGGCTTCATTTGTCACAGTTGATGAACCTACATTGACACATCAACCAAGGTCCATAGTTTATGTTAGGTTTCACTCTTCCTGTTGTAAATTCTTCGTGTAGATTTGGGTTTCATGCATCTTGTTTGTCACATGAGTTGGACAAATGTATATGGGTTTGGACAAACGTATAATGATGTGTATTCATCTTTATAGTATCATACAGAGAATTTTCACCGCCCTAAAAATCCTCTGTGTTCCACCTATTCATCCCTCCCCGCACACTAACCCCTAGCAACCACTGATCTTTTTATTGTTGTGATAAACACAGTTTATTTATCCTTTTCCAGAATGTCACATAGTTGGAATCATATAATATGTATGTGGCCTTTTAAGATTGGCTTCTTTCACTTAGTGATATGTATTTAAGTTTCCTCCATGACTTTTCATGACTCAATAGCTCATTTCTTTTTAGTGCTAAATAATATTCCACTGTCTGGATGTGCCACAGTTTATTTATCCATTCGCCTACTGAAGGACATTTTGGTTGCTTCCAAGTTTTGGTGATAATAAATATAGCTGCAATAAACATTCATGTGCAGGTTTTGTGTGGACATAAGTTTTCAACTCCTTTGGGTAAATACCAAGGAGCATGACTGCTGGATCGTATGGTAAGAGTATGTTTAGTTTTAAAAGAAACTGCCAAACTGTCTTCCAAAGTGGCTGTACCATTTTGCGTTCCCATCAGCAATGCATGAGAGCTCCTGTTGCTCCGTGTCCTTGCCAGTATTTGGTGGTGTTAGTGTTCTGAATTTTGGCCCTTCTACTAGTGTGTAGTGGTATCTCATTGTTGTTTTAATTTGCATTTCCCTGATGATATATGACGTGAAGCATCTTTTCATGTGTTTATTTGCCATCTGTATATCTTCTTTGGTGAGGTGTCTGTTAAGGTCTTTAGCAGCACATTTTTTAATTGGGTTGTTTTTCTTATTTTTGAGTTTTAAGGTTCTTTGTATATTTTGGATAATGGTCCTTTGTCAGACGTGTCTTTTGCCAATATTTCCTCCCAGTCTGTGGCTTATCTTCTCATTCTCTTGACATTATCTTTTGCAGAGAAGTTTTTAATTTTAGTGAAATCTAGCTGACCAATTATTTCTTTCATGAATGGTGCTTTTGGTGTTGTATCTAAAAAGTCACCATCATTCCCCAAGTCATCTAGTCATTCTCCTATATTCTTTTCTAGGAGTTTTATAGTTTTGCATTTTACATTAAGTCTATGATCCATTTTGAGTTAATTTTTGTGAAGAATGTATTCTGTGTATAGATTCATTTTTTTGCACATGAATGTCCAATTGTTCCAGCACCATTTATTGAAAAGATTATCCTTGCTCCATTGTATTGCCTTTGCTCCTTCGTCAAAGATTAGTTGACAGTATTTATGTGAGTCTATTTCTGGGCCGTCTATTCTGTTCCATTGATCTATTTGTCTGGTCTTTCACCAATACCACTCTGCATTGGTTACTGTAGCTTTATAGTAAGACTTAAAATTGAGTAGTGTCAGCTCTCCAACCTTGTTCTTGCCTTTCAATATTGAGTTGGCTATTCTGGATCTTTTGTCTCTCTATATAAACTTTAGAAACAGTTTGTCAATATCCAGAAAAGAACTTGCTGGGATTTTGACTGGGATTGCATTGACTCTATAGATCAATTTGGGAAGAACTGATATCTTGACAATATTGAGTTTTCCTATCCATGAGCATGAGATATCTCTCCATTTATTTAGTTCTTTGATTTCATTCATCAGAGTTTTGTAGTTTTCCTCGTATAGATCTTGTAAATATTTCCTTAGATTTATACCCAAGTATTTCATTTTTTGGATCCTAATGTAAACAGTATTGTGTTTTTAATTTCAAATTCCACTTGTTCATTGCTGGTATATAGGAAAGCAGTTGACTTTTGTATATTAATCTTGTATCTTACAACCTCGCTATAATTGCTTAATAGTTCCAGGAGGTTATTTATTTGCGGGGGTCGATTCTTTCAGATTTTCTACAGACAATCATGTCATCTATGAACAAAGACACTTTTATTTCTTTCTTTCCGATCTGTATACCTTTAATTTCCTTTTCTTGTCTTATTGCATTAGCTAGGACTTCCAGTGCAATGTTGAAAAGGAGTGGTGGTAAGGGACATCCTTACCTTGTTCTTGATCTTAATGGGAAAGCCGTGGTATAATTTTTAATGTTTTGGAATTTGTTGAAATTTTTCTTTATTGATTAACACAAGGTAAATTTTTGTAAATGTAATGCATGTAAAAAAATGGATTCTCTTTGTTGGGTGAAATATATATTTATATACACATGTACATATATGTACATATACCTATACATCAAGCTAGCCAACCCTGGTGGTCTAGTGGCTAAGATTTGGCGCTCTCACCGCTGCAACCCAGGTTCCTGTCCTGGTTAGGGAACCACATCACCTGTCTGTTTGTCATACTGTGGCAGCTGTGTGTTGCTGTGATGCTGAAAGCTACACCACTGGTATTTCAAATACTAGCAGCGTCACCCATGGTGAACAGGTTTCAGCGGAGTTTCCAGACTAAGACAGACTGGGAAGAAGGACCTGGCCACCCACTTTTGAAAAAATTGGCCATGAAAACTCTATGGATAGTAATGGAGCACTGTCTGATATAATGACAGAAGGTGAGAGGAGGGCTCAAAAAGACCAGACAGGGTTTCGCCTCTGCTCTATGCAGGGTCACCAGGAGGCTAAATTGACTTGAGGGCACTAACAAAAATAGATCAAGCTTGTTAATGAAATAAATCAGATATTTCACATCCTTCTTCTTTTTCAATTGATATAAAAATTATTGCCATAGAATCATAGATCTTAGAATTATAAAGGACCTCAAAATAATCAGATCCAGATAAGCAAAGTATTGTTTTCCCATGTTATACTTGAGACATTAGAGGCACAGAAAGATTAAGTGATTTTTCTTTTTAAACTTTGAACAATCTGTATTCCCTTTTTTTTTTTGAGGAAGATTGGCCCTGAGCTAACATCTGTTGCCAATCTTCCTCCTTTTTTCCTTTTTTCTCCCCAAAGCCCCAGTAGATAGTTGTATGTCATAGTTGTACATCCTTCTAGTTGCTCTATGTGGGACACCACCTCAGCATGGCTTGATGAGTGGTGCGTACGTCCGCACCCAGGATCCGAACCAGCAAACCCCGGGCCGCCAAAGCAGAGTGCTTGAACTTAACCAATACACCACCAGGCCAGCCCCAGAAAGATTAAGTGATTTACCCAAGGATACACAGCTAATGAATAACAAAATGAGGATTAGAGCCTAGGCCTCTGGAGTGAAACTATAAACAGGATACCTGTCAGGGCAAGTGTCCATTAACCTTCCTGTTTGAAGACAGACCACATTAATAATATGGATCAATGCTACATTCAAGAACTGTTGTTACTAATTAGAATGTTGACTGCATACCCTATAAGATGCCTGTCTGTTTATGTTTACTTAGAAAAGTGGAAGGTGAAATCTTCAAGTTGGAGATGCTACTTGAATATGTTAAAGAGAAAATTGATAAAGGCAAATACACTTCGGCTCTCTCTCTTCCCATGAGCTCTCCAATCATCCAATCATCCCATGAGTTGGCATCCGCATCCTCTCCATCTTCAAATGAGGTAATATAGCAAGCTACAGCCTGATTTCATGCCAGGAAAAATAGTTTTTATGCATTTATAGAATTCTAGTTCATGGAAACACTGAATTCTATTTTAATATTTCATGAAAATTTAACTTTCCAGAGTCCTATGAATCACATTATTTAAAATGGAACCAGCTTTTAAAAATTAGAACCTATTTCAAGTGTTGGTTTTTGAAATCTCTTATTAGGTTAGGACATAACAATGCAGTTTAAACTGATGCATCGCTGAAGAGCTATTTCTCCCGGATGAATAGTAACATTTTTTCGGATCATGCTTGGAAGAAACAATTTTTCTTCTTAATAGTTTTGTACTCCCTCTTCTAAATAAAGAATAACACTCAGTGAAAGAACTATTTCCCATGAGTCCACTTCTGCATTTTCTTTCTCTGAAATTAAATTTTTGGATTGTCTACACATGCAGGATTAGGAATTCAAATCAATCACCATGTCTTTCTACGCCTTTTGTTTTTGTGGTCTAAACTATCAGAACATTTCAGACTAAATTAAAATTCTGAGAAACTGAATCATCTGGATAATTGCCTTAAATTGACTCTTTTGTTTCAGACAGTATTTGAAGACACAGCCTGTGGCTGATATTCAAAACTTGAACAGGTTTTTGTCAGAGTTAAAAACAAAATGGTAAAGATGGTATTAAGTGTCAGCCCTTCCCAAGAAGTGTATTTGCCTCCTCAAAACACTCACCTGCTGGGCAAAATCACATTTATTCAAGCCAGCTTCAGAGTTAGGCAATTTCTATAACCTTGATGCACAGCCCCCAGCCCAGGCGGAATTCTTTGCTCTGGCCCCTGTTTCCCCACAGAACTGTGTCTCATTTGTCCTCGCGCCTTTGCACCCATCTTTGTATCCCGAACATCTGACTGAAGGCCTGGTATAGAGGGAATGCTCAGTATAGTAAACTCTGAGACTTTGTGGATTTAACAAATGATTTCAACACTTCATACGCAGTCTTCAAGGTTCACGGCATGTCATCCCTCTAGTCCAGAACCTGAATTAGCTTCAGCGTGGTGTGAGGGAGCCTCGTGAGTCAGCCCAGCCTTCCGCCCAGCAGCTCCCTCAGGTCTGGGTTTGTTCTTCTTTACTTGGTACCAAGTCGATAGCAACTGTTTGCAAAGCCTTTCTGCAGAAGAAGAGTTGGAAGTTTAGAGAGGTGAGGAGATTTGCCCAGGACAAATGACAGGAGACACTGGAGCCCAGGTCTCCCCACTCGGGTGGAGGGCACCTCCCTACATTCTGCTAATTAAATTTGACTCAAACGTGAAGTGCAGAGGTATCCTTGTGGGCCTAGAAGTGATAAAAGAAAACACAGGGGGAAAATAGAGGAAAAAACGTTTACTTTTTAAATTATAAAAGTGATATATGCCTATTGCAAAAAAAATTCAGAAAATAGAGAAAAGTATAAAGAACATTTTACTGAGAGAAAAATCATTGCTAATATTTTAAGTGTTTATCTGTCCAGTCTTTTTTTTCTCTGCATACACACACCCATTTTTGCAAAAATGGGATCATACTATATATATTGTTTTATGATATGCTTTTTTAATTTAACATTATATTGTGGGCATCTCAGCAGCCACTTAGAATAAACCTACAGCTTCAGTGTTAAGGACTGCATTGTATGGCTATACCCTGATTCATTTAACCAGTCCCTTATTGATGGGCATTTAGTTTTTTCCAGTTCTTTGATATTATAAACACTGCTTCAGTAACATCATTTTATATGCAAACTTTTAGCCATAGTTGAATATTTCCTTAGAATAAAAGCCTAGCAGTGTAGTTAATGGTTCAGAAGGTACACACCGAAAATTCTGACGAACTGGCCTTTAGCAAGGGGGTACCTGCTTACAGGCACATGGCCGTGCGTGGGAATGGAGGCATCTCCAACCTGATCCCCCCTGCCCCCCGGGGATATGTTTTCTTTTCTTTACAACCTTTGCTAAAGTGATAAGTGAAAACTGGTATCTCATTGTTTTAATCTGTATTTCTTTGACTATTTGTGAAATTCAACCCATTTTCACGTTTCTTAGCCATTTCCACCACCTCTTGGACAGCATCAACATTTTAACCAGTGTTTGCCAAGCTGAAACCAGTCAATCTTTTTTGAAAAAGGCAGACAACTTGGAAAATATTAAGAGCAAATAATGTTCAGTATTGGGATTTTTATTGTACAAAGTGATCTGACAAGCACACAAAGGAGAAGCAGCATTGTGGTTAAGAACACACGCTTACATACGGGTGGGTAGAGGTTCAGATCCCAGCTCTGCCCCTTACTTGCTGTGTGGCTCTGCCGAGTTGGTTAAATTCTCTGAGCTTCAGATTATTCATCATTGGGCCGGCCCGGGGGCGCAGCGGTTGGGTGCTCGCGCTCCGCTTCGGTGGCCCAGGGTTCGCAGGTTCTGACCCCGGATACAGACCAACGCACCGCTTGTCAAGCCATGCTGTGGCAGCGTCCCATATAAAGTAGAGGAAGATGGGCACGGATGTTAGCCCAGGGTCAGTCTTCCTCAGCAAAAAGAGGAGGATTGGCGACAGATGTTAGCTCAGGGCTAATCTTCCTCACAAGAAAAAAAAAAAAGATTATTCATCATTGAAATGGGGACAATGTGCCAGGAAGGTGGGAAGGAATAAAGGAGGCTACATGAGAAGCACCTGGCACAACGAGCAATCCTCAAATGGTTATTTTTATTAATAAGAAAACTCTGAAACCCTCCAAAAAAAATAATGGACCAAGTCTATGAACTAAAAGTCACAAGTAGGAAATACAACCAATAAAGAAGCATATGGGAAAATGTTCTCCCCTTTAATAACAGAGGAAATGCTAATTAACACAAGGTGCCACTTCGCCTTTTTAAATTAACAAAAACACTTGTAAGTGACAATTCCTGTGCAGAGGAAGGTGTGATCAAGCTGAACCGCCCACAGCGTTGGTGGCTATGCAACTTGTACCACTTCTGTGGAAAGCAATTTGGCAATCTGCATCATCACCTAAACATGTTCGCAACCTTTGACCCAGACATTTCCTAAGGAAGTAATTCAAAGTGTGGAAAAAGCTATCTGGACAATGATGCTTATGCCAGCATTGCTTATAATGGTGAGAAAAGTATGCTTATTTTCCATTTACATAAAGGGGAAAACCATAGTAAAAAATACATGCTGGTGAGGTGTCAGCCCTTTCAGTTCAGTAGTATAATTTATTTGTGCTAAAAGGGGACATATAAACAAAAATTTAGGCCTCTAGATAGTCCCAAAAGCCTGTTTTAATGCATAGTTGAATACATTTCTTTGGAAAAGCTTTTAGACCTCTACTAATCATTCGTCAGATTAATAGATTTAAAAATCATCTTCTTAAATGTGTTCATCCTCTGGTGGAGCTTGGGGTAATTTGAAACTAAAGGAAAGACAAAATAGTCTCTCACCCGTAAACTAGATTTTTAAATGTTTGGAGAAAGAAGGCAGTCAGGCCATTGTTGAAGCTTTCTTTCTCTCAGCCCCAGGCTACTAGAGCACAGACCCCACAGAGCGCGAAATCAGAACGCAGGAGTCCTGAAATGGTGCGCCCAGCCGAGTCTGAGCTGCTGCTGGGCTGTGCAAGAGCAGCCAAGGGATGAGTCACTTCCTCAGTCATATCCGCATCTGTGTGTGCTTTGTGGTGCAGGAGGACCCCAGCAACGCCTCGGGAAGGCAGGAACATGCAGAGATAACCAGTCCAAGCTGTGCCTTCTGCCGCCGAGTCCTTGAATGGTGAGGGCTTCTTGCTGCTAAATTCCCAGGATGGGTGGGAGCCGGTCCTGGGATAATAATTCCAGAGAGAGTGGGCGTCAACTAACTGAACGGGTGCCAGAAGCCACCGGCCGAGTTATAGAATCACAGATCTCAGGGCTGGATACATAGGCCGACCTCTCTTCCAACTGACAAATCCCTCTAGCAGTGCTTCTCAACTGGGGAGAGCATCAAAGTCACCAGGGAGATTTTTAAATAATACTCATGCCTAAGCCCCACCTGCTGTAATCAGTCTCGCCAGGGGTGGCGCCCTGATAGGAATACTGCTTTTCAGTCTCCCCAGGTGATTCTGGTAAGCCCCCTTGGTTAAGAAATCACGGCTACAGCACATGGAGGGTGGTTTGTCCTGCAGGGTCCATTTGAACATTGCCCAGACAGGAGATTTTTATACAAACACCATCTACCAGCTCCCACCCTCACTACACTCTCCTCATGATAAGTGAAAATCTTCCCTGTTGGGTTCCACCCCTGCCCCCCAGTCCCACCAGAAATAAGCCTAATCCCACATCTCAGGGTTTGCTTCTCGCCATTCCTCAGCAAAAAACCTTCCAGGGGCAGGCCCGGTGGTGCAAGCGGAAAGTGGGAGCGCTCCGCTGTGGCGGCCCAGGGTTCGCTGGTTCAGATCCCGGGCACGCACTGACACACCGCTTGTCAAGCCATGCTGTGGTGGTGTCCCATATAAAGTAGAGTAAGATGGGCACGGATGTTAGCCCAGGGCCAGTCTTCCTCAGCAAAAAAAGAGGAGGCTTGGCATCAGATGTTAGCTCAGTGCTGATCTTCCTCACAAAAAAACAAAAAAAACCTTCCAGAAGTAACAAGCTGTAAATCTTGTGAAAAGCCATAAATGTAAAATCTTCAGGAAAAATCCTTAATGTTTTTGAAACACTCTTTGGATCAACTGTTAGCCCATGGGGATTCAGAATCATTTATTTGAAGCTTCTATCAGTTAATGAGAGGCACCACCTCCGAGCTCAGCCTGCTCTGTGGACTCCGGCTGAGTTTGGCTAATCCGCTTTCCAAAGGTCAAGGGTCAGGGAGGGAGGAGCTGTTCAGCAACCACAACTACCTGTACTTAGTGGGCTCTAATAGAAGCAGATGACGAAGTCCGAAAGACTGAAGTTTCCTGGTAGAAAGCATTCCACCATGGGAATGGGCTCTGGTCACAAATGTTTTATTGAGTTTCTGCCCCTAAAAAAAGAAACAGTGTGGTGTTTGTGCTAAAAATTACCATGTGTCATCTGGAGTGGACCATTACCTTACCAACATGATGTCAGTCATTAGCTTTGACTCTCCTTTAAATACAAGGGGCACTAACGATGCTCACCCTGTCATCCCAGCTACTATTTTTATTAGTTGTATTAAAATTTAGATTTGGGGTTTTTCTTTTAGGTTTTGTAAGAATAATAAGAATAGTTTGACATTTAAAAAACATTTTGATTAAACATTTAAGGTATGAAGTGTTTCTCTTCCAAATTCCTAGTCTAGACCGTACAGAACCACTTAAGTACCAGAACAGGAACCAATGTTCCAGACTAAATTGACTCTTTTATGATGGACAAGAAGCAAAGAAAAGTGCAACCAAGTGTAAAATCAGACCTAACAGTGAATCTACTGCTGGGGAGTATGAGGAGACAGACATGATTTATAAACTGGTCTTGGTGAACTACATAATCCCTGAGGAATTAATTGAAAGGAGGGCTATGTACTCTTTACTCTTTTGGAAGACTAGATATCTCTCAAATGGGACACATTCTTTGTGAAGCTTGCTGATGTACATACTGTTTGCGGGATATTTGCAAAGTGTCCTAAATATGCAGATAAGTAGTATATACGCCACATGTAAAATGCTTGTCCCTTTGTGTTATTTCTGAAGCAGAACTCTGGGTTTAAGAGTACACTTGAGTTACTTGATCTTGTTGAAAACCTGCCTTCTCAAGTAGAATTGCCCTTAGCTGTTATGTTTGGCAAGAAGATTTTAGTGCACAAAGAAGTTTAAAAGACGCAGAAAAAGAAAATCGTGTGTTGGACTGAATTCACTTGAGTCAGATCCAAGTTTTCCACTTTGGAGAGCAGATGTACAAACGCCCTGGAGGAGGAGGGTGGAGACAGAAAATGATGTGTGAGAAAATATGTGACTCAGGAGGAGAGCATGTTTTTCCAATAGGAGGGCAAGGGCCTGGCTTCTCAGCCCCCAGCCCCACACACTCCAAGCACTGTGGCCCTCTGCCCCAGCAGCAGGCCCCGGGCATAGGTGGGCGTGCATGCATTTGCCAAGCAACACCTCAGGCTCATGCCACATTCCCGGGAATCAGCCTCATTCCTGCCTCACTGGCTCGGGCCAGGACCCCTTGGGCACCGTGCCCTCCACATTAAGAATGAGCAACTCTCCCCAGGGGCTATTATTGTATCCCAAGGGCTAAGCAAGAGCTTTAAGAATTATTATTAATTAGAATTCCTCTGGAGAAGTTAGAATTTCTGTGAAGAAGGGAGGCTGAAGCTACAGACAGGTCAGCGGAAGCATCCTGGTAAATGACAATTGTAGGACATCTTTCTGATGCCCCCTGGTGGCCTCGTACAGCTAAAATTAACCCCCCACGCTCCCACAGTGTTTAGTCCCATAAACACTGGACAAAATCCACCTTGCTGGCTTTTCTGGATACATTCAGCTTGTGCTTATAGAGCCAAAGCCATGTGACCCGGTACTGACACAGCACGGCTTCTTCCCCCGACAATTGATTTTGAGATATGAATAAGAAGAAAACACCAAACTTTATAATCCCATACTTCAGATTTCTCTGTTATGTATGTGTGCACGATGATTAGATATTATCCTCTGGGGAACAAAACAGATTTACTTTTAATGTTTGTTGTTCACATTCTCATCAGGCCAAATTGTGCTGGGTACAATTTCTTAGAGGGAAGCTCTCAAACAGGCAGGCAGAGGGGATCTCTGTGTGGAGGATGACGTGCCACTCCTACATTGTTCCAGGCTCTGATATTAGAAATTTAACATTTCAGTTTTACCAATACTTTCACTATCTCTATTAGAAGTGTACTAAACGTTTATGGGATCTTATGCACCTTTTTTAGGAAGCAAAAAATGGAGAAAAACAGCCACAGAAGGATCAACTGTGGAAGGTTTCCCAGCGCCATTCAAGAAAAGGCACTGCACCCAGATTCAGTTCTCTGTAAGCTGAGGGGCCTGGGGCTATGGGTGGTCAGTCTTCAAGGTCCCTCTCCATAGGGTCAGCTTATGGTGGGCGCCAGCTTGGCATCCACATTCCAAATAGCATTGCCCTAGACTAGGGTGTTGCATGTGTATTTTTTTGCAAAATGTAAAGAATTAATAATTGAATCAATTTAAATAAGATGTGGTCAAGTAAGAGTGAAAGTGCCAACGTCTGTTTCTGGCTGGAATCGCAGGATTCCATGGACTCAGTCATTAGGTGGCCTCAAGTCTGGTGTGTCATCATCCTTCCAGCATGACCCATAATCTGCACCTGGTAATCTTACCCACCACCGGAGAGTTGCTGTTGACTTGTCCACACACATTTCATAGAAGCAAAGAGAATTAGAGCTGGGAGGAGACCCAGAGAGCACTAGTGTGTGGAATTCAATGACTTCTAGTCATAGGAGCCTTTCTCCAAAGATAGTCTAAGCAGAAAAATATCTCCTGGCAGAACCGCCCTGGGAGAGGAAGAGGTGGGGCTGAGGCCTGCCTGCTCAGGCAGCTCCTGAGCATGAAGATCACCGCCCGGGCCCAATCTACCCAGTTTATACCTGAGGACACCGGGGGCCAGACAGCTAACAGGAGTCGCTTCTGTTCATACAGCCTGTTAGCCGAGAGCCTTTCCTTCAACTCTGTATTCTTTCTGTCAGGTCATGTTTAGTTCTATTTCCTCTCTGTAGATGATACATTTTCTAATAATAATAATAATAACAGGTTTCATACTACACCAGATGCTGTTAGAGTAGAGATTTTCAAAGTGTGGTCAGAGGGCCCCTGGGGGTCTCTGTGACCCTCTCAAGGGGGCCATGAAGTCCTCTCTTTTCCAGCTACATATCTGTGCAAGGCCACTACTGCAACAGACTGGACGGAGATGCGGCTCTGGAATCCGGCTGCCTTCTATTAAGCCAGATACTCAAGATTCTTGCCAAACATAAAACACTGCCACTCTTCTTACTATTTTCTTTTATTTTCGAAAATAGCTATTTTTCATAAAAAATGTTATTTTGTGAACATGAAATGGATTATTGTTTTTAAATGACATAATAAAATATTTTTTAAATGCCTCAGTTTAAAATTCTAAAAAAAAAAATAGCCTCAGAACTGCCCTTTCAGTCTGAGGAAGATCTGAATGATTCTGCACAGAAAAAATGACTTGAAGTTTATAAATAAATACCTCTCTACCAATCCATCTTCAGCTGACTGAATGCTGTATGATAGCTCTTCTCCAGTGCAGGGGGAGATTTTCACCATAGGTATAAAAAATGGCATATATTAATGATATATGGTAGATAAAAACTATAATAAGCAAAAGCTCTTTAGAATCCTCAATTTTAAGAGTATAAAAGGGTTCTGAAATCAAAAGTTTGAGAACTGTTGATGTAATATATATCATTTAACTATCATAACACCCCTGTAAGGTAGGAATTATTATCTTTATTTTATAGATAAGGAAATGGAGGCTCAGAGAAATTAAGTGACCATCCAGGGTCAAAGAGCTGGTGTATTATCTATTGCTGTGTGATGAAGCATCCCAAAACTTAATGGCTCAAAACAACAAACATTTGCTATCTCATAGTTTCTGTGGGTGGAATTTGGGAGCAGCTTAGCCGGGTGGTTCAGGCTCAAGGTCTCTCATGAGGCTGCCATCAAGATATTGGCCAATACTGCCATCATCTGAAGGCTTGACTGGGGCTGGAGAATCTGCTTCCCAATTGGTTCATTCACATGCCCATTGGCAGGTCTCAGTTCATTGCGATGTGGGCCTCTCCAATAGACTACTTGAGTGTCAGTATGACATGGCAGCCACCTTCCCCCAGAGCAAGTGATCTAAGAGAAAGACCAAGATGGAAGATTCAATGTCTTTTAGGACCTAGTTTTGGAAGTTATACACTATCACTACCACTTTGTCTATTTGTTAGAAGCAAGTCACTGAATCCAGACTACACTCAAGGAGGAATTAGGCTCTACCTTTTGAAAAGCACGTCAAAGAATTTGTGGACGTATTTTCAACCATCACAGCTAATAAGTGGCAGAGCCAGGCTTCTGAACCTCATGCTCTTTCCACTGTACAACACAACCTTCCCAGGGTATGCCTCCTGTCCTCTATTTGTAATTTCTTTGGGTTTTGGATCGAGAAGGCATTCAATGACTATTGATTGAGTGAGATTTGGGAAAGAAAAAACTTTTCTAGAGCTCATTCCATTTGTGACTTCCACTTTGAACATAATGTTACAAATGAGTGTATCATGAGTGCAGCAAGGCAGGTAACATTGGCAGAGGCTTTGTCCCCTGGCCTTGTTTCTCCTGGAGCTGAGACTTGGACATCTAAGCCTGACATGCTCACCTGCCTGGCCCAGGCTTCCACGCTCTGGCCCGACCTGGAGAGCTCCACTGCCCACAAGTTCTAGACCTGCACCAGACACACCTGCTCTCTACTACTAGCCTTTCTGTGGCACTGCTGAGGGCAAAGCTCTGATTCAGGTTCCCATATGGGCTTATGAATTTGTTGTGGAGGAAAACCATCTTTCCAATTGCCTGGAGGACAAAACACAAGCTCTTGGCCACAGCAGGGTCTGAGAAGAGAATGTGGGCGTATCAGGGCAAATCTGGAAAAATAACCACAAATGCAAGATTGTCTGATAATTCAGAGGGCCAAATTCTCACAGATCCATCCGTGTGGCAGCCCTTTACTAAGCACCTACATGCACTAAGCAAATCCTGAGACTTTCACATCAGACTGTTACTTATCAAAACATCTCTCAGCTGTCAGAAGGGGATCCCAAATGTCACCCCTAGGCTGGCAACTCCCCTTGGTAATGCAGCTGGCGAAGTTGAACATGTTGGTGCCTAATGCATACCTTGCACGGTTAGAGCTCTACACTCCACACCATATTTTATGACTATACTCAAGAAACTTACACTTCCTTTGCATAACTTGGGCTTTTCCAGGTTCTGATGCAGGACACAGCTGCTATTCTGCTTCTGCCACTGGAGCGCAGAGTAACAAATGTGAGGCCTGCGGCACTAAGAGTCGTGACTCCGGAAGAGTCTGCGGCAAAGAACCACCTAAAGGTGAGGGCGACCAGGGGGCCTCAGAAGGAAGGCAAAGCGGGGACAGCTGTTGTTCTCAGGCAATGAGTTGTATTTTTAATCTTTTCTTTTTAGAATTTCATTATAGACACAACACCCCAGGACAGAATTACTTGAATCATAGTGAAAGAAGTGCCTTTGTCCCGCTCTGCTTTTTAAATGAAAATAAAAATTCTTCACTTTGTGAGTACATCTCCTGCATGATCCCATCTTTGTAAACAACCTAGTCTCCCAGGTGTGGGAGACCCACATCACACTGGCCCCTGCTTCCATCTGGGGAGCCCCTGCCCTCTCCAGGATGCTGCTGGGTCTCCAGCACTCATCTGACACTTCTACATCCAGCCCTTCGCCTGGATGGCAAGAGGCTGCGCTGGGCTGGGAGACATGAAATCCTAGCGATATAGGACTTTGAAAGGTAGTAAGTCTATACCAGTGTAAGCTGTTAGCAAATCATAACTATCTGCTGAACAAATGAACAACTGAGTAATCACAACTATTAGTGTTATTATTCAGGAGTGGCGAAAGCTTTAAATATATCCCTACTAAAAGTCAGCATGTAAAGAAATAGACTATTTTTATACTCTTTAGACATCATATTGCTAATTTTGATCCAAAATTGTGCTCTTTGGAAAAAATTAAAATCCCACAAACATTTATTTATAAAGATGAATAAGACATGGCTCCTCCCTCCTGAGGAGTTTACAATCTGTTGAGAGAAAGGAACTCATACCAAATAAGGAAAGTGCATGGCAAAACGCTAAGTGCTAACAGCAAAATCAAAGTATGCTAAGCGAACACGGAGGAGAGAAGGAAATGCTCCTTGTTTTGCCTCTGGACAGCGATACCCGGTTCTCAGACGTCTTTTCCCTGGGGGTGACTTCATACCGTCACAGCTCTTTCTCTCCCTCTCTGGGGACAGGGCACCAGGGAGAATGTTTCTTATCTTTCACAAGTGCCAATGTCCGAGACTGAAGAATGTCATTTACCTGACTGACCTCAGCTGTGCCTCCTCTCCCACCCTCCCCCACCCCCACCCCCGCAGCTGCCAAATCCTCCAATTGGATGTATTCTCTCGAGGTGACAGGCACTAAGACTCTGCGGAAGCAACAGGGCAGATTTCTTTACTATCACTTTGGTCTTTGGGTCTATAGCCCACAAGACCTGTTATTCCAATACATGAATGAGGAAAGTAACTGAGTCACCTGAAATGTGATCTTGAACTCCGTTAATAAACATATAGTGGCCAAGAGGGTAGAAGTCACTGGGAGGTATCTTTTGCTCAACGTTAAAAAAGAACTTTCCAGCAACTGGAACAGAGAGAAAATGGAGTGGGATGTTGCAGGAGGTCACGAGCCCCATCTGTAGACTGGGAGACAATGTACTTTGTCGGGATGTTGTAGATCTGTAGACTGGACTAGACCTGGACCAGATGGCCTTCTGGTCCCTTCCAACTCTGAGTTTCTACGTTTCAAGTAAAATTATATCTAGAGACTACCAAAGGATGAAGACTGAGCTCGTTAGTGCCTCTGTTCATCACGACTCTAGTCTGGGGGGTCAGCAGGACTAAATTTGGACTTTCTGGCTTCTGCTCTGCCTTCCTTGGCTGAGGGACAATCTCTCCCAGTTCCCTTGTCAAATGGGACCCTCCTGAGGGGGAGTGAAGCCTAGCCACTAGAGACCAGGGAATGAGACAGGTCACCTGGAAGCAGAAAGAGGGGAAGAGGAGAAGAGGAGGAGGACAAGGGGAAAGAGAGGGGAGGAGGGAGCCCCAGCGACAGAGAACGCAGATTTGTTGGCCACTGACTTTTCTCTCTTCCTCTCCCTGGCTTTCTTCTTTCCTTCCATGGTGACTTTTCTACAGTTACCTTCTTCTCTGTTTAGTCTCTATTTTCTAGAATGTCTTAGTGACATAATTATTAGTTTCTGACTCCTAGAATCCTTGTTCCTAAAGTTGGAGAGGACTTCAGGGATCCGTGTGTTCCAAACTTTTGGAAGATATTATCCCTCCATTTTTCAGATGAAGTAGTTGAGCCCAGAGAAGTGAGACAACATGCCCAGCCCCACAGCTAGCACCCAGGGAACCTAGACTCCTGGTCTCTTGTCTGCTAATAAAACTCCTTTTAAAAGTTGAATTTCTTTTCCTGAATTCAGAATACTTGATAGAAAGTTCTTGGTCTTCTATGTTCCCTAATTTTCTTATTTATTTATTAAAATTTCATAAAATATTTCATTCATACAGAAAAGTTCAGGAAATGATACCAATATATCCACCATTTGGGGATCATTTTTGGTGCTCTGAATTTAATCATAGCTAACATTTTTCAGCTTGTTCAAAACCAAACTGGATCTGTTCCCAGAGAGCGAGTTCAAAATCTTCTCAAGACGAACATGAACCCATAGCAGGAAAGTAAGTATTATTTTATTTTATTATCACAAATTATAACAAAATTGGCTACCTACTGGTTGGGTGCACAATTACCTGCCCAAGATCACCTAGATCACTAGTAGAGCCAGGATTCAAACCTAAGTCTATCTAATACTTTAGTCATTTATTCATTCAACAAATATTTGAGTGTCAACAGCACGGTGCTGGGCTAGGTGCTGAGGACACAGTGACAAAGTCAACTACTGTTCTTGCCCTCAGAGACAGTACTTAGGTGCTTGCTTTTTTGGTATTGGAGTCAGTCTTTATAAGTGCCAAGAAGGGGGCATACAGAATGCTATTACCTAATTTGGGGGTTCAGGGAAGCTGAGCTCTAAAGGATAAATATGAATCAACTAGCAAGGAGATGGAGGGGTAAGAGTGAAGAACATTCATTCTAAGAGAGCTTCCTGGCACGGAAAGGCCCTTAGCGAGTTCAGGAGCGGCATGCCTGGAGCCTAAACGAGGGAGTGGCGGTGGGGCAAGATGGGGCTGGTGAGGGAAGGCTGGTGGGATGGGCAGGGCCAGACTGTGCAGGGGCTTGTCAGTTACAGGAAGGATTTCAGACTCTTAGGGATAATGGGAAGCCAATGAAGTTTTTTAGCCAGAGTTTAAAAATTTTTTTAGTGTTTTAAAAGATCATCTAGGGTCCGGCCCAGTGGCGTAGCGGTTAAGTGCCCGTGCTCCGCTGCGGTGGCCTGGTGTTTGCAGGTTCTGATCCTGGGCGTGCACCAACGCACTGCTTGTCAAGCCATGCTGTGGCGGCGTTCAAATATAAAGTAGAGGAAGATGGGCACAGATGTTAGTCAAGGGCCAATCTTCCTCAGCAAAAAGAGGAGGATTGGCATCAGAAGTTAGCTCAGGGCTAATCTTCCTCACCAAAAAAATAAATAAATAAATCACTCTAGCTACTAAGAAAGTGGGAATGGACTAGAGGAGGCTAGGGCTGGAGCACAGAGGCCAAATAAAAGGCTAGTGCAATAATCCAGATGAGATGATGGCAGCCTGGCCAAGGGTGGTAGAAAAGGAAAGAGAGAAGTCTAGTATTGGGTTGCTATTTAGGAGGCAGAACCACTAGTGTAGCCGAGTTAATAGTTCAGGCTCTGCAATCATACGCACTTAGTCTGAACCCACTACCGCTGCCATAGTGCAGTGTAGTGTTTAAGAACGTGGCCTCTGGGGAGTTCCTGGGTTTGCATCTTGGTTCGTTATTCTTGGGCGGGTTGCTTGACCTCTCTGTGCCTCCCTTTCCTCATTGTTTCCCCATTATTCCCCAAATGGGAAGAATAGCAGCACCGACCTCATTGAGGACTGAGTCAATACATATAAAGCATTTAGAGAGGTACATGGCACTCAGCAAGTGACAGCTGTTGTTATTGTTGACAGTGGTGAGTGACTGGATGTGGGGAGACAGAGGACTCTGAAGCCCACGCTCTTCCCACTGCACCACACTGCCATTTCTGCCCAGTTTGTCATTAGCTGGGGGCCCCGATGCTGACCTCCTCTCTCAACTGGAGGATAGATCCAATGTGTTAAACTAACGTGCAGAACCAACTAAAGTTAATGTGGTGGGGGAGAGGGATAAAGGGAGGCTTTGAGTCACAAGCATTTGAAGTCAGACTTTCTGGAGATGATATTGCTCACAAGTGCTGTATGTACCAAAGAAGTAATGCTTCACAGAAGGAATCTCAAGCCGGGAAAAGATGTGAGGATGGCTCCATGGCCCACTGTCAACAGGCTAGGTCATGTGGCATCCCTTAGGGCCACTACTCATGGTTGTGCAAAGCATAACTCCAGGCAGTGTCTTTCACATACGCTTTGTGAATGAAACTCCCTAGAGCTATGCAGTGCACAACCTGAACAACTGTACACTGTGGCCCTGGAACCCCTCATTCAGCCAGACCATCACTAAGAGATAGAGTCATAGTTATAGTGTTTTATTAAAAATCCTAATTTGTTTCCAAAAATTAGAATTTCTCTTTTTATCTTATTCTGCTGTCTTGATATAGTATGTTTCTTGAAAAGTGTGAAAGAATTTGTTCTAGAAAAAACAGAAAGTGTGAAAGAATTTGTTCTAGATAACATTCTTGTTTACAGTCGTACACCATCTTCTAGAATGTCTTTTCAATTTTTCCACCTTCTCTTCTTCCTTCCTTCCAGGGGAGCCTGTTTACTTAAAGAGGTGCTGTTTTTATTTTTCTACTGCTGCTGGCTCCTTGCTATATAACCTCACTGGTGCTAGAATGAACTCAAACTGTCTGCAATTGTTAGATTTGTGTGTTTTATAAATATGCAGGTAGAAGGTTGGCCCCAAAAGAATGAAAACTGAGTAAAAATCTCTTTGGAGTCTCGCCTCTTTCTATGCCAAGGAGACAGATTCCAGGAGGAAATGCCCTTCATGGTCATGGGAATAACCTTTTTCTGAAGCTCAGGTATTGTCAGCCACAATGGGACTATGAGAGCTACAAATGGCAGAGGATGATGCATGAACTCCTCACCCCTGACACACACACACAGACACACACACACACACACACGGCCAGTACTGAACCACAGAACTGAGGGTGGCGCTTTATACAAGTATCAATGATGTGCTTTTGCCTTCCAGAAAAAATCTTAAGCCTTCCAGGACCTACAGTTCAGACCTTGCTACACCCTCGCCCCATTTCCACTCCTGCAGGATTTCTGGCAGCAAATCCTCAAGCAACTTTAGCAGTATTGAAGAAATGGAATCTGAGGTGAGGACCTAGACAAAAACATTCTGGAATCCTTGCAGCTTGTAAGTTTGGTCTTGATGATCACAAAAGTGATGGCTTTTAAATTATTTCAGTATGAGGGCATCAGAAAATGCTCTGCTAAAAACAATTTGTGCTCAGCACTAACATAAAGACCCACAACCAGAGCAGCCATGTGCTTGGTATTATTCCTAAATCGGTTCCAAGGGAAATTTCCTGGACAAAGTGTTTTGTGGGTGGTGGCTCAGCTACAGGATCCCCCTGGCCCAGGCATGAAGGCACTGGAGACCTTCCCCAGCCGCTCACAAATCCATTCCAGTGACACTGGGGTTAGAGCTGCCAGCAGTTTCTTGTTTTCCGATCAGCTAACTCTAATCCCAGGCCACTTTCCAATGTATTTGCTGTATCCCCGGGTGCCCTCTCAGTGCTTATGGCCCCTAAATCCCTTTCAACAGCCCCCCAAGAGCTTTCCTTCTTTCTCTGCAGCACGGACACAGGCCAGCAGGCTGCTGACCTCACCCTCTGATTCATGCTCATCAGTCACGTGTTGGTCTTTTTTCTGTCCCTTGCCCTAAAAAATATATTCCATCTCAGACTGGTTTCCTAGGAAACCCACTCTCAAAAACAGAAATAGACTGGGTGGAAAATAGAACGCTCCAAAAATCCCACCTTGCAATGTTTAACAATGAAGAACCCAATTAACAGAAAGAGTAGTAAATTTATGTAACTAAGTGTGTGGACTTTTCCTCTGTAGATTTTAAACTCATCTTTGGATCATGCCCTAAGGACAGCAACCATTTTGAAAGAAACTACTGATCAAATGATTAGAACTATTGCAGCAGATCTTGCCAAAATACAGAGATGGAGGAATCAACTGAAATACTAGTTCGACCTAAGGCAATTAAGGATTAAAAAAAAATGCAAAGAAAACTTGACTTTCTCCAAAAAAGTATTTTACTTATTACACAATTTAGGAAGATGACTTTCCAGAGAAAACACCAAAACTATAAGATATGGAGGACACAAAGGGCTTAAATGAAAAAAATGGACCTCTGATTCTTAAAATCAAAATCAACAATTATTTTAAAATAAATCTGTTATTCCTAACTCATAATAAAAGAAATCAAAACAATAAAATATAATTTTACCTATTAGTGTGGTAAAAACTAAAGTCTAAAAAACCCGGTGTCAGTGAGGATGGGGAGACAGGTACTCTCATTCACTGTTGGTGGAAGTATAAATTGGTACCACCTTGTTGGAAGGCAGCTTGATAATATTTATCAAATTCTACAAATTCTAAATTGAGGAGCAATTCCACTACTAACAATTTACTTTATAGGTAACTCACACAATAGGCCATGGAATGTGTACGAGGATGGCCATTGGAGCACTGATGGGAACAGCCCCCAAGAGGAACTAATCTAATTCCCCATGTGACGATTCATAAATAACGACAGTCAGATGATTAATATTCTGCAGCCACTGAAAAGAATGAGTGGATTATCTGCAAGATAGTGAAAAAAAGCAAGATGCCTAATAATATATACAGCGTGGTGACACCTGTGTATGTTTTTCAAAGGGCATACATATTTTCTGGAAAGATACACAAAAATATTCAGTGGACTGCTAGGAAATGGAACTGGTTTTGCGGGGAATGGAGGATCGTTACTTTTCATTTACTTTCTGTACTGTATGAAATTCTTATGATATTCTTATAAATTATTTGTTTAAAGATCTCTTGAAGTCAGAAATATGCAAAAACAATAGTCCTAGATTAATGAAATTTGAGAAAAAAGTGAACACAATTCATTAAAACTGCGTACCAGGGAGTAAATAAATTTATAGCATTTCACGTAGGATGCCAGAACAAGATTTTACTTTGCTTCAGACTGATTTATAACCTCCTAATGACAGAGCAGCAGATCATTGGCTTGTTCCCTCTTTCCTGAGGCCTCCATTCACTTCAAACAATCAACAAATGGTTTCCCAACCCCCAGAGCTTTGCCCAGTGGTAAGGAGAGTTGAATCTATTCCCACTTTGAAGATTTTTGTGGTGACCAAGGCAGCTGCTGTTCGCCTAGCTCGCTGGAGAATGGGCTATTTTTAACTTGGGGGCTTGGAAATTGGTTTAGGGTGTCTTGGAAGAGATAAAGCAGAGACCAGCTTCAAGATACCTCTGACTTTGTGGCTAAATTTACTTTAAGCTGTGGCACTTATTGTAAGGAAGATAGTGAAGACCAGTAGTGGTACTTTAAGAGAAAAAAAGGAGCTTACACTGTGTATGTGCTAAGAGGCTTCTAGATACCTAAATTTAATCACAAGTTGAAATCCTCTTTTGTGCTAAGCATCACTATCGTGTCCTCAAGGTTAAAATTACACACTCCCCGGCTTGGTTAGAGTGTTCTTATATGACTCATTAGTTCTTAACCCTCTTTTGGGTTCAACCCTCTTTGAGAATCTGATGAAAGCTCTGGGGTCTCCCTCCCCCATGCTCCACCCTCCCATGGAAGAGGGATATATGAACATGTACCATTCCGCACATAATTTTTAAAAGTTCATGGGCTCCTGAAGCAAATCCGTGGAACCCAGGGATTAGAAAACACTGCCATATATGAATGTTCCTAATCCCTCAAATTAACCTTTATACAAACTTGCTATTGTAATCATTTTTTGACTTAAAATATGGCCCACTGCTGCTTTATTAAATGTAATTTTACATTTCCTTGATGATTGAGGATCATTATGACCATCACTGCAACATGCTTAATCCAAGGAACAGAAACAGGGCAATGTCCCAAGGAGTTTTGGAAAGTGCTAGGCTCTGATTTACAGGATAATTTTAAATTTACTGATTCTGTAGCCTTGGCTGTCTCCTCCCCCAGTCAGTTCGTTGTGTCAATTCTGATAGACCTCTCTTCTAATTCTGCCGCAGTAATAACCCAGAAAAATGAGCTTGCTAAATACAAGGAGTCCCATCTTTAATGCTGAGTCAAGGGGCTCAGCAATGCTGCGGGCAGTGGTACTGCAGACACACCTGGCAGTTTCCACAGCGCAGAGGCCTCTCTGTGCTTCTTCAGTGTGCGGGTGTGCTCTGGCTGTTTGGGGCTGCCAGGAGCAAGACAGCAGGATGGGATGAGACTGTTTGCAGAATGCTTTCACCTCTTTAACAGAAAGTTCTAGCCATCCACTTTAGTTAACTGTTATACTAATGAAAACTCATCATCTTTTCATCATTCCTTTCTATTGTAATTTTATTGTTAATGAGTTACTTAAAATAGACCTAATTCATACTAAATATGAATATATATTTATTTATATTTAATACCCAAAATGTTGTTTTGATAGTAGAAATTTTACTGTGGGAGAATACATTTCTTGCTCCTTTGATTTTAAAAGAAATCTGCCTGCATCCTGATGGGATTCACAAAAGGTACAAACACCTATAGCAGAACTGAGTTATGGAGGCGTCACATCTTACAAAATAAACTGCCAGGATCTGGGCCTTTTGGGCTCAAATCCAAGAATTTTTGTGTGAACTGCTGATATATTTATTTTTTGTGAATATGGCTCAAGAATGTGAATCCACTATATTTTATAAACCAAGCACATTTCAACAGGAAGAAAAACTGTGCCTCAGAGATAGTGAATAAATGGTTAGTTTCGACAACAAAAAAAGTCTTTTTCAGGGTCTTTTTTTTTTTTTTTTTTTAAGATTTTATTTATTTATTTTTCCCCCAAAGCCCCAGTACATAGTTGTCTGTCATAGCTGCACATCCTTCTAGTTGCTGTATGTGGGACGCGGCCTCAGCATGGCTGGAGGAGTGGTGCCTCGGTGCGCACCCGGGATCCGAACCCGGGCCGCCGGCAGCGGAGCGCACGCACTTAACCGCTAAGCCACGGGGCCGGCCCTTTTTCAGGGTCTTGATATCAGAATCTATAATTGCTAATCCTGAGGGGGGAATTAGCTTATACTAGGAATTTATGTGAGATGATCTCTTATGTCTTCAAATTCAGTAAGAGATTTAGGAAACAAAGGGTCTGTCCAATTATAAGCCTGAAATATATGTGAAATGTAGGCCTTAAAGGATCCCCTATCAGTGTGATAGGGCAAAGTGATCACTGAGGTGGTAAGTGACTGAATGACCGGACCAATGTTTGCTGTCATCACACTCTTAGTTCCATTTGCCACAGGGCATTGGATTAGTCTAAATCTCTGTTCCACACATGTACTAACCCTGGGCAGATAGTTACCAAGGCATACAAAATCTCTGATAAAATGCAGACACCAAAAATTAACCCTCTCACTGGCAATGTACTGTTCTCATGCTCAACATGCAAAGAGGGCTGTTTATTAACGTCAAGCCTTTCCTCTCCACATACACAACCAGGTTAAATTACATAACCTCTTTGTGCTTAATTTGCTCAGCTTTAAAATGGAGATAATAATAATAGTACCTATCCTCACAGAATTCAATGGGGTAATATAAGCACTTAAAAATGGTGCCTGGCACATATAAAGCACTAAGTAAGCATTTGTGTGTTATTATTTTATTAGCATTACTTAGTAAAATAGCAAGTTATGAAGTTAATATATCAAAAACAGTAATTTTTATGTATATAAAAAATCTGTTTGAAAAGAAGAGAAGAGCCAAATCACATAGAACTACGAAAGACATTATGGCAATACGCAGGACCTATATGAAGAAAATGAAGATTCTCAAGGTCATCAAGATTTAGGTGATTGAAAAGACATTCCATATTCCTGCATATCAAGTTTCAACATTACAAGATGTCAATTTTTCCTAAATTAACCTATAAATTTACTGCAAACCTAATGAAAATACCAAAGTAACTTTTGGTATTAACAAATGACACTAAAATTCATTTAGCAAAATGTAACAGCCAGAAAATCTCTGAAAAATAATAGTAATTTAGGTGTGGGTGGAGATTACATCCATCACATATTAAAACACACCATGAATTAAAATAGGGAAAAGGAAATACAAACCGTAGGTCAATAAAACAGAATCCAGAAATAGACCAAAATACAAATATAAATTTAGTCTACTACTATAAAGGTAGCATTTAAGATTAGTTGGGGAAAGAGGGATTACCCAATAAAACCTGGTATGATATCTGGCTATTTAGAAAGAAGCTGGATCCCTGTTAAATACTGTATCAGTCAGGGTTCACTGTAGGAACAGAAACTCCTCTTAGATTCAAGCAGAAATGGATTTATACAGAGAATTAGGGCCTTAAAAATAATGGAAAAGGCTGTAGGGACAGAAACTGGGGGCCACCGTGCTTTTAGACTCAAGGTCATATCACCATCTGCGATCCCGGGAACAGGAAGCTAGTGTTGCCACTGACATCAGCACGACCTCATAGCCACGAAGCAGGTGACAGACAGTAACACGTGGAGTCTGATTGCTACAAACACCTCCTCTCGGCAGGAGCTTGTCCACTGGCACAGCCACGGTGGACGGCCTCTGCCTCCTTTCTACCTTCCAAATCTTTACCAAATGCAAATTCTACCAAATGGCAGAATCTAACCTGTTTAGAACTCTACTTACCTTTGAGTCTTCAAAACTTCATTTTTAGCCTTTCATCGCTGTGGTATGAGAGGGGGAGGTATGGGACATAATGCCAAGTGCTAAGAGACAATATCTAGCATACATTCTCACACTAAAATCAATTCCAGATGGATGAAAGAGTTACCGGTAAAAAATAAAATGAACCTATCAAAATGTTCTACAAGAAACAATGGGCCAATTTATAATCTTGGGTGCAAAAGGTATTTCTAAGTACAACATAAAATTCAGAAGCCTGAAAGGAAAACTGATGAAAAGTGATCTACATAAAATTTAAAATTGTGATGTCCATTATTAGTATTTTAAACGCACAAGTACTCTGACCAGCAATGTCACTGCTAGAAATTTATATTACAGAAATATTTGTGTAAGTCTGCAAAGGTATGTACCCAAACAATGCAGCATTATTTTTAACAGCAAAACTCTGAAGACGAGTGATACATAAAAT